CAAGATGACCTTAATAAACTCCCACCTTCCATGCTTATAAATTACGAAGACACCAACTACAGGATCTTTTTATACGATGACTCCCTAACCTGCTACTTATGTAAGGCCCAAGGTCACATTGCGTCTCATTGCTCAAACCAAATTAATTCACACAACATATAAACATCACAGGTAAACAATACATATAATAACCCTATAGTACCTGCCTCCACATCGAACACCGACAATCACCACTTGAAACAATATTTGTAACCCAATATTGCTGCTGAGCCTAAATTGCCATCCAATCTTCCACCAACAGCCTCTACCACTTCAAGACCAACTCTTCAAAATTTAGATGCGATTCCAATTTCTGGCGTTGACCCTATGGATATTATACATCCATCCGGCACTAAAAGATCTTTACCAGATTTATTTCTTACTCACTCTCCGCCTCCTCCATTAGAACCGAATGAAAACTCAAACGCGATGCCTGCTCCACAAAACCTAGACCTAATAAAATGACATCATCGAAAAAAAAAAAAAGTATAAGAAATCAAAATCAGCGTCACTAACAAAATTGTTACAAAATATCGACACATATCTAGAACCAGCCAAAAAACTCTTCACCGATCAAAATAATTTTAAAATCGACTTTATTACCTTCAAACACATTTTTGAAAGTAATTAAGGCCACATCGAACCACCTACAATCTACAATGCATACAACATATCAAAAGACGATTTATTAGACATTATTATGTCTATCAAACCGAGCCTACACAACAGTAGCATCAAAACAGATTAACCCGTTTCACAAAAAAAAGTTAAATGCAGAACCCTATGATTCTAACGAATCAGAAGCTTATTTCATTTTTCAATATATTAAACAATGATAATAATAATAATAATAATAATAATCCATCACAAAACCGTAGAACCAACATTATAAAAATATAACCTAAAATGCAGCACAATAATACAAAATATAACATACTACAATGGAACCTAAATGGTTTCTACAAAAGAATCAGTGAATTACAAATAATAATAAACAAATACTGCCCCGAAATCTTTTGTCTCCAGGAAACACATTTTACAAGCTATAGAAAAAACACTAAAAGGATATACAAATTATACCAAAATAAGAGCTAACGCAATCCGAGCTAGCGGAGGAATCTCTATGTTCATAAAAGACTCATATACTTCCGAAGAAATACCTGTAAATACTCCACTTGAATCCGTAACCATTTCTGTTCAACTCAAACACAAGATTACAATTTGCAACCTTTACCTATCTAACCAATCACTCTTCACCGAAGCAGACTTAAAAAACATCATTCAACAACTCCCTCCGCCGTTCATTCTCCTAGGTGACTTCAACAGTCATAATCAGTTATGGGGCTGCATTTCTACAACACACAAGAGGGAAAATAATCGAATCGGTCATAGATTCTGAAAACCTAATGACACTGAACAACGGTAAAACCACTCATTTTGGAACAGCATCCGGTACACAATCAGCTATTGACTTAACATTCACAACACCTTCTTTTGCCCCTCACCTTACATGGGACACCTTATCTCATACATATGGAATACCCAACCAAAATGGAAACTAAACACTGCGGATTGGAATCTTTTCACATCCCTCTTAGAACAAAAGATAAATTCAATTGAATTTGAAAAACCGAAAATAAATAATTTAAATGAAGGAATACAAAATTTCCCAAATGCTATACTAGAAATATCGAACTTAATAATAGGACAAACTATATTCTCAGGAAAAAAGCCCCCAGTTCCTTGGTGGAACTCTCAATGTAATGAATCTATAAAATCAAAAAAGACTGCCCCTTCAACAAATTGAAGCGCACAAAATCCCAAGCTGATTTCATAGAATTAAAAAAACGCAGAGCTCAAACCAGGCGTAAAATTAAAGACAGCAAAACAATGAGTTGGCGCGCCTACACGAGTAAATTCTAAAGCAAACCCAAAACCAATATGGAATAAAATTAAGGCTTTTAAATGCATCAACAAATACGACAATATACAGATCCTCATAAACGAAAATGACACAATTTATTCAGAACATTTTGAAATCGAAAATGAACTTGGCTCCTTCTTTGCAAAATCTAGTAGTACCGAAAGTTACCCCCTAGATTTTCAAAGATACAAATGTGCTCAAGAAATAGTACCTCTCAATTTCTGCAAAAAATCACGATAACATACATATTAATAGTCCTCTCACTATGCAAGAAATGGAAACTGCTCTCCGTAGCAATAAAAGCAATGCTTGCGGAATAGACAATATACCCCCCCTTCTTAACCCTTTCACTGCTGACCATAAAAATCTAATGCAACTGCTGTGTGCTGACTATATTTCATAAATTATTTAACTGGTATTTCCACCTTAAAAAGATAGCTAAATACTCATTGAATCTGAAAAAATTAAAAAAAAAAAAAATTGGAACAAAACTTACCAAGTTATTGCTAATTGTATAACTCTTAGCCAGGGTTTCTCAAAATGTACTCCGCTAAATAAATTAAAGCACAAAATCTATGAAACATTAGATTTTTTTATGTCATACATTTATTTTTAACAGTTAAAGTATTTAAAAAAAAAATTTACAAATCTCTCATAAAAAGTCATAATAAACAATATTAACCATAAAAATTATATTATACACACTCATAAATTATAAATTACTAATAGTATAAAACCAACGGTAAATAATTTTTTTATAATAACAAATTTAATATAAGTATTGAGTAGCTTTGTAATTGGTTTTTGTATGGTAAATACCAAAACAAGGTGTTACACATTATCCAACATCACATAAATCACACATATATAATGTGTCTTTTCTTTTATTATTTTTAGAGCATACTATACATTTTCTTCGGTTAGCTTTTCCAACTTCATTTTTATGCACATCTGTTGGAAAATGACGGGCTGTAAGTCGAGTTGGCTCATCTTTTGTACTTGCTCTCCCTCTATTAGGACTATTATTATATTTTCCATATTTATCCAAAAGCTGTCTAATAAGTTCTAATTGAAAATTTGCTATTGGTATATTCTTGCCACTTACAGTTTTATATGCCGAAAAAGAATTTAGAAGACATAAATCAACTAAATGAAAGAATATTTTTTTATACCACTTCATGGTTTTTCGTACACATTCAACAGAACTAAGCAACATATCACATTTATCAATATTTCCCATGCATGCATTATAATTTACAATACATGTAGGTTTTTTTACAACTTTACCACTAGCTCTGTCAATTTTGTTTGTGCTGGCTGAACTAGAATCATATAATGACTATAACATATAGACTTCCCTTCTATCCAACCACTTCAGTGCCATCATTCTTTGTGTGTGACTACTCTGTACTTCACCTAGTTTTAATTTTTTTTTTATATCAGGCATCCCTCTTCTATTTTTCCTGACAGTCCCAGTTAATGTTGTTTTTTTTGTATAGATGTTGACATAAAATAGGTGAGGTGTACCAGTTATCTGTGTACAAGTTATGTCCTTTTTTTAGATGTGGTGCCATTAAAGTCATAACAACTGCCCCAGATATGCCTATGTTCTTATCACATTGCAATAGACGAGTTTCAGCACCAGTATAAATTATAATATCTAAAATAAAATCGGTTTCAACATCGCATAATACGAACAGTATTACTTATGTAAATACAATTATTATACAATTATTACAATTATATATAACAGTATTATAAAAAATATTATTATTTTAGAAAAACCCATATTTTATTCATAGTACATAAAATGTATTACCTTAGATGAGTCAAAACTATTTGTCTTAGGGCTAAATTTTCCTGTTGACTTCCATTTTAAGTCCGGCGTATACAAAGGTTTATTCACAGGTTTTTTTTCTAATATTTTTTTCAAAGACATTAGTTACACCAGTAATGTGTTGAGCAACTGGCACGTCTAAATAAGTTTCAGATGTTCCTGGTAGACCTAAAATAGATAAATAGTAAATAAAATTACTATCTATTATATTTGTGAGGTAAAACAATTGGGAATTAGAAACTACTATGTATCGCACAACTGTAGGTATTTACCTTGTTCGATATTATTATCATATGATTGAATTTGTTCTTCTCTGTTACGGCATGACAGAGGTGGCGATGCCAATGCAGCTGTTGAACAGAAATGATTGTTTTACAATAATTTATAGTAAAAAAATAAAAATGATGTATTATAATTACCTGAATCATCATCATCAAAACACAAATCGTCAAGGAACTCATCATCTGAATCTTCGTTAGCTAATATATTATCTAGTCATCTAAAATATCGAAGTCTGACAACATATTTGCAAATTGTTTTCGTTTAGAAAACGAATAAAACCACTCGTTGTAATCGTACTTATGACGAAATTTAACAAATGAAAACATAATCACAGGCTAACTAATGATATTATAATATATTTTATAAATAACTATCTAGATAAACAAACAACACTAATATAGTAATAATATTAAAACCAGAAAATAAAATATAAGATATGCGAGTAATTACTGCAATAGCGTAATCAAAAATCTGATTTGAAATATTTCGGTTTATCATTAATTAATGCAAGTTTGGGAACCCTGGAAAATAAAATATTTTATTTTTCTTATAACTTCTTTGATAATTGTCAGATTTTTATTTTTATTATCTCTTTGGATTTCTCTAATCATTTACTACATGTTAATGTTATCACATCAATGAAAACAGCTATTGTTGATTTTTAAAATGAAAAGACGCATATGTGCGTCCATAGCACCACAGAGTTGCCTACGTTGGACGCATATATGCGTCCATAGCAGTGAAAGGGTTAACCTTCCAAAAAACGGTAAACTCTACCTACTCAAGATTTTTATTCATATTTGGATAAAAAACAAGTACCCAACAAAATGGCTGACCTCTATAATCAAACCTATCCATAAACCCAATAAACCTAAAAACCACGTATCTTGTTACCGTCCTATATCCATTATATGTTCCATGACAAAACTACTAGAAAAAATTATTAACTCAAGATTAATGTGGTACCTAGAAACTAACAATCTAAATTCTAATTTACAACATGGTTTCCGCAAAAATAATTCTACTTTGGACTCCTTAGCAATTATTGAAAATGAAATTAAAGAAACTTTCAATCAAAATCAATACTTGGTTTTAGGCAGCCTTGAATTACAAAAAGCCTTCGACACTATATGGCGCCACCGACTTATTACAGTCGTTGCCAGAGAAATTGAGCCGGCGGCGGCAGCGCTTTTCAGTAAGTGTAGCCCAAACTAGTCGCTGGCAGTGTGGTGCATAGGTCACACAGTTGACTACGACACGCGCAGTCACCAGTTCGAACCCGGCTCAGTGCAAACAATTTTCTGCAGAATTTTTTGTACTCTCTCTCCCATGCCATAGTTCTGGCTGCAGTACACTGCTAAAAACAACTAACCTAACCCGGTGTGTTTCGACCGCACGGCGCGGCGGGTCATCAACAAAAAACAGCCATAACAAACTATTGTTATGTATATTAAAATTATAATTTATAATATTATAATGTATAATTTATAGTTGTTGTTATTATTTTATCATATTATTTATATTATTTATTATTATTATTATTATTATATTATTTTAAAATGTCTGCTTTTTGTTAAAAGATTATTATCAGAATATTGGATTTTAAATTAATATCTTAAAATAATGTGTGTAACAATTGTTGGTTTATTGATGTATTTTCGGTAATAGTATTGAAATACGGAGAACCACTGGTTTTCCGTTATCGCGCCGCCGCCGCCGGCTCAATTTATCTGGCAACGACTGTAAATATATGAAACAGTTGAATATTAAGGGTAACATAATTAACTTTATCATAAATTACCTCTCGAATAAAATAATACAAGTATCTAATAATGGTACATTATCTTCACCATTCATTCTTGAAAATGGCAGTCCTCAAGGTTCTTCTCTAAGCTCAACTCTTTTTCTGATGGCTATCAATTACCTCCCATCTATCATAAGACCCCCAAACAAAATCATAATGTACGCAGATGATAGTAATATATTTTGCAGGGGCAATAATCTACTAACATTAATTACAAAACTGTATAAACAACTTACTAATATGGAGTAAAACCTCAGATTTTACTTTCTCTCCAGTCAAATCACAATTCATTATTTTCTGAAAGAAAAACATCCCCTAAAACCCATCTCTTAAAATGGAAAACACGAGCATTCCTCGAGTATTTAATATAGAAATACTGGGCTTAATCTTTGATTCAAAACTAACATGGCGAACACACATAACCAAAATAAAAAATGAAGCTAAAACTAAACTCAATATAATAAAAACTCTAAGTAACCTCGAATGGGGAGCAGAAAGCAAAACATTACAGCAACTACATACACAACTCAATAATATTCTCAGCACTAGAATATGGGTCTATACTATATGCAGGAGCATCTGCTGCAACAATCAAAACATTAGATCCGATTCACAATACAGCCCTAAGATTGTCAATTGGTGCTTTCAAAAGCAGCCCAGTTCTCAGCATCATAAACATTACAGGCTCAAAATCACTCAAAAAAGAAGAATAAAACATACATTGGAATACTCTTGAAGAACAATAATAGCAAAAAAAAATCCCAACAACACAATATTAAGAAACTCAATCAACCAATACCAAAATAGCGATCTTAACAATCTTGCCACTCGTACAGCCACCTATGCCTCAGACCTCAATATTATTTTTACAAACCAACTTAACCTGCAAGTCTCTGAACAGCCCCCATGGATCACCTCAAATCTTCTCATCTATTTCAACCTAACTGCATACAAAAAAAAAAAGAAACCGATTCCAACATTTACAAACCAAACTTCATCGATTTAAAAAAACAGCCTTCCACCACATCATGAAATATATGTTGATGCGTCCAAAAACACAGAAGGAGCTGCAATTACAATAATCCAGCCAAACTCCCAAACAGCATTTTAGATCCCATCATATAACTCAATTTATACAGCAGAATATGTAGCTCTTTTAAAAGAAACAGAATTGGCTGCCTCCTCAGATATCCAATCTACAAACATATACACAGACTCTCTTAGCGCCCTCTCAAACTTAGCGAATCCCCAAAAAAACAACCCTATATGCACCCTAATTTTGAATATTCTATTTATATCCAAAAAAGACATCAGATTCCTATGGGTACCTGGACACAACATTATACCTGGTAATGAAATTGCAGACGAAATAGCCAAAAGGGCAACAAAAGAACCAACTGATTTCTGGAATATAACAACACATTTGGACACAAAACACCAACTAAACACAAACCTTAATCAAACATGCCATGAAGAATGGGGATCAGTACGAAACAACAAGCTAAGAGAAATTAAATCATCCACTCTCCGTTGGTTGCCTGACACATCACTAACACGCAGACATCAAATTATACTCAACAGACTACGAATTGGCCACACATTGTACACTCATGAACAAAAAAGAACCACGTATATGCACCTCATGCAACACCGCGACGACTGTTAAGCACCTTACTGAATGCCTCCTCACAAAAGATACCAGAAACAAACTTATGCTCCCCAACAATCTGTGTGAAATACTTGCACCAAACATGGAGAGAACATCTTCTCTCCTTGAACTTCTCAAAGAGACGAACCTGCTGCAAAAAATATAACATAAATACTTAAATATATCACAAACAATTCATATTATCATGAAACTTATTGTTTCATATCTTATATACATTTTTTCTTTTTTTTATATATTATTATTCTTATGTAAAATATAATTAAACTGTAATTTGTATTTCTGAAACGCCAATAACCCCAGTAGTTGAGGCGTATTTCTAAATAAATAATAATAAAAAAAAATATAGTATATATTATATAATTACATAGATACGTAATAGGAGTACCTATAACAATATATAAAGTATGTTTTAATACACACAATAAATTGGTAGTTTTATATTAAATAAATTATTTACAAGAAATGATAATATAAAGGTATAAATGTATAAATTAAAAAAAAATAAATATTCTATCTGTGATTAGGTATTAATTTGCTGTAACTTGCAAGTGTAGATTAATACTTCAATAACTTTAAATACTTGCAATACAATTATAGGTATAATAATATTATACTTTTTTTATATAGTATCAAGTAAAACGATATTGAAATGGAACTGACCTAACGTTTACAAAATATTTTCGTACATCAATCCCTTCATGACGAACTCCAGCATTTCCATAGTTTTGAATAAAGTCCAAATTATTAAAAAATGTATCTTCAAATTTATATCCGTCTCTCCTTCGTACATAGTTGTCTAAAACGCAGCATGCTTTTACTATAAAATCACGTATACAGTTTAGTTTCAAATATAACTTATGGAAATGTCCATGAAAATGTTATTGTATTACCTATGTTTATCAATTCGGTGGTGTCCAAGACTGTAATTTTTCAATTGCTGTCAAAGGCCAAAGAAACAGCCCCCTGGCGTTTTCGATCAAATAGCTCATGAATTTCAATAAAATTGAGACTTGTTAAAAAAATTATTGTACACAACTGTTCAAAATTCGATTCAATGCAAGTATTCAACTCTGAGTTACAAAAATACTTAAAACATAATATAATATAATCTTTAATCGTGGTTACAATTATAAATTCGTAATCTAATCGAAAACGTACCTAGGTACCTAATTAGGTACATATTAGTTATCGGTGCCCCATGCTATAATTAAATTATATCATTCAATTTGTGCAATGTTTATTTATAATTATTATCATCAAACTATATTACCACGCCTGAACCATACTATACAGCAAACCCGCACACACGATGAATCGATGGATGTTCTATCCAAATTTTTATGTTCGTTAGTGTTAAATTCCCGTTTTTCCATAATTTTTTGTCTTGTTTTTTAAGTTTTGACCTCCTCAATGCACCAACTAGATTCAATTTTCCATCAAACAAGATAGTGTTGAAGAAAATCCAAACAGTTTTACAGCCCTAACGGTGATGACAGACTTTAAGAAATCAACACAACAAAACCTATCAAATTTATAGGAAAAGCCCAAAAAAATTTTTTTTTTTTTTGATGCTACAATTATTGTTAATGCTTGTATTCTGTACGTATTTCTATAGTCTGTTCAATCTTAAGCCCCCTACACACAATATGATCTGGTCGGGGCAACAGCCTGACCAAATCAGGTGTTGTGTACAGACGACACGACCTCTGCATGACTTGGCCAGATGAATTTTAATTCCACTTGTCTAAATCCACCCGACAGTGTTACACTCTAAATGATTTGGTCGGGCGGTCGGACGGTCAGATGGAACGGCCACCTGACAAGACCCGATAGGATCAGACAGATGACTCGTCTATACACGAACTGATACGACATCCGACCTGACCAAATTATCCTGTCGGCCCGACCAAATCATATTGTGTGTAGGGGGCTTAAGAGTGAACCACTCGCCTGACCAAAACACATTTTTCCGCGCATCCACTCCAAAATCCGGGCATCGGTGTAAGCGTCAATACAGGCACCCGACGACCGACGACGGCCGGCGATGACTGTCAGCAAATCACAGATCGTACAGCCATAGTATGGGGGGGAGGGGTCAGTTTGCGTGCGCGAAAGCTGTCCACTCTCAGTTAGAACAGTAGTAAAACTATATTGTTCAGTTAAAATTTTTATCAAGAATAAATAACTTGATTATAAATATATAAAAAATAATAATTTTGAATTTATACTTACTCAGTTACTCAATAATGTTGAAAGAAATGTTCTGTTAAAGGCCATTTTTAATCCTCTTCCTTTATGTATAACTATACACAGCAGCAAGTTCGTAAAATTCGGCTTTAATATTCTTCTAGTAAGTTCCTTAAATCTGAACCCTAATTAAAGCAAACATATATACCTAAAATATTATAATAACTATAATTATAGTAGGTTTTATAATAACAATTTATCATAACATTAACCATTGTTTATAATAATTGAGGCATTCATTCTTGTAACATAGTATACTCTAATATACAAGGTAATTTTTTAAGCATACTGACCTTCATTTTTCCTTTTAATAGAACATTTAATTAATAATACATTCTGATTTAAAATTATTTTAGCATGATTAAAAACACCTCATTTAAAATGTTTGATATTTTTATACTACAAAAGGAGTGTTCTGTGGCAAAACAAACTCCTATTTTTTAAATTAGAACCATTTTTTTACTGCAAACTATTATTAGTCTAAGATTTTCTTGAAAATTTGGATGTATCTAAATCAAAATCCTAATGAGTAGTTTCTGAGTTATTTAAATGTTTATACTAGGGATAAAAATTATTTATATTAATAAATCAATAGCAATTAACAAAATTTTCAAGCTCCATAGTCACTTAACCCATAACCATCGACATATTATCCTTAGCACACAAAGTTATATAACTAAAATTATTAATATTAAGATTTAGATACATCACAATTCTCAAAAGGAATATTTGCTAAATAATCTTAAGTGATAGGTGGGGGGTGGGGGCTTGAATATATTTACATAAAATATAAAACTAATTATTTGCAGTAATAAAAATATATTATATTATATTTTAGATTCTGAGCGGAGCGATGAATGTATTGGTTTTACAATGATGTGTGTTTTTATATTTTTATATTTTTATATTTTTGTGTCTGTCATCACGTTTTGGGACAGTAAAAGTGCTTCGATTTTCTTCAATAGTACCTTTTCTGATAGGAAAGTGAATCTAGTTGGTACTTTGGGGGGTCAAAAGTAAACATTTTCCAGTAGTTTTCATAAGCGCCGGGAAAAACAACATAAAAATTAAGGAAAAACGGGAATTTTTACGCAAAATCGATTTTCCAAAAATCGAATTTGGTTTTTGGTGTAACTTTAAAACAAATGACCGTAGATACATGAAATTTTCACTGGTTGTTTATATTTGCATTTTCTATACACGATAACATTTTCAAAATATTTTGATTTATTTTGAACTGTTTAGGGACATTTTCATTTTTCATTTTTTTTTAGTTTTTTTTCTAGAAATATCAATACAATTTTATTTGTTGGTTGCGAAAGCTTGAAAATTTAATAGAAGGCTCCTAATATGTTGTTTCAAAGGCAGATGAAAAATATTAAAAATTCTTAGTCACAATTTTTTTTTATAAGCATTTAAAGTTCAAAAATTGACAAAATATGGAAAAATCACGAAAATTAGCAAATTATTTTGAGTTAAGAATCTTAAATCTAAGATTTGAAAATGAAACACAAGATTCCTTATAAGATTATCTACCTTTATCAATAAAAAAATCTCTACCGGACAGTCAAATTAAATTTTTATGAGCGTTTGAAATTCAAATTTTTACAACATTGGATATTCACTCTATTACTCATGTAGCGATTTCCTTATTTTGTTGCAATTCAAAAACGAAAAACTGTAGATACATGAAAATTTCACTCAATGTTTAAATTAGCATTTTCTATACACCATACAATTTTGAAAATATTTTGACTCTTTTTGAGATGTTTATGGACATTTACAGCTTTCAATTTTTTTTAGTTTTTTTTTCTATAAATATCAATAAAGTTTTATCTGTTGGGCCAAAAAGTGTAAAAATTTAATACAAGGCTCCTGATATATTGTTACAATATCAGTTGAAAAATATTAAAAATACATTGGCACGATTTTTTTTTATAAGCATTTAAAGTTGGAATTTTGACAAAATTTATCAAAATCTCGAAAATTATCAATCGTTGGAATTAAAAAATTATAAAATGTTCAGTTTTTATAACTAAGAGTTGAAAATTTAAAACAAAGATTCTCTTAAATAATTCATACTGTAACCTAAAAATCTAAACAATATATGAACACAGTTATTTTTTACAGACATTTTAAATTCAAATTTGGACGAAATTACATATTAAAATCAATATTAACGATCTTGGTTTTTTGTTGTAATTTAAAAATATTATTCGGGGATATATGAAACTGAAAAATCAACACATTATGGCCTATCCATACAATCTACCATAGTATAAGGAATAAGAAGTATGCTCAATGATAAGACTGTGCATATTTTAAGGGGCAATGAATAATTTATTCATAAATTCCATATAATTTAATACCATAAATAAGTATATAATATGTCTTATACCTAGACTGACATACCGCCTCCGCTCAGAATCGTTTTTCTTATACAATGATATTATATCATTGAATTCAAATTTAATACCATCCATCATACAGTGACCCACTTGTAACCTACAGTACAGCAGAGCGACATCCACTTACCCACCTTTTTAATAATAATTCCTTACACTAACCAATCGTTCTTTATCAACATTTTTTATTTCACCTGTCATTTCATTTAGTTGATCTTCATTTGAAACTTCACATTTTGAAAACAGCTCTGCTATTTGTTTGTTATTGTTAGTTATAATATTACAAGCTGAAGATAAATTTGAATTTTACATTTTGTTAATTTTTTCTTGAATATCATTAATATTTAACATCAAAATGTGTAGGTATTCAGATTTTTCTTCCGCACGTGCGTTTAATGTTACAAGCTGTTAATACTTGCTTTGAAATCTCTGAAAGATAAATAAGTAGGTAATAAAAGTACAATTGAATAATAATTATGCATTTATTTATTATGTAACTTCGTTATTTATTTATTTATTCTAAAACACAAGTAATGTTTAACAGTTATAATTATGATTACTTGTTTCTATTGAATAGGTATACATTTTATTTTTCAAAAATTATAAGTTCATTCAAAATAAAAATGATCAAGAAATACACTTCATATAGGTAGCTAATACGCATATATTGTACAATATAAACTATCGTCCATGTAAACTAAGTTTGTTTGTATGTAATATAATATTTTATATTTTTATATAATATATACACATAAAAAAAATTAAATACCTGACGAGTATAACAAACCCTTTGATACTCTCGGTCATACTTGGAGCTCCATCAGTTCAAATTCCAACACAGTCATTCCACGATATTCCATTGTTTTCAAAAAAAAAAATTGATTGTTTTAAAAATGTCTTTGCCTCTTGTACTTGTTTTTAACTTTTTCAGACACAAAAACTGGTTTACAATATCATAACCATCAACAAAACGAACAAATCCTATCATGTAGCATTCATCCAACAGTTAAATCGTCAACTTGAAGTGTGAACCGAGAAAGTCTCATCATTTCTACGGTGTGTTTTTTTATATCTACAGACATAATATCATTTATACCACGAGTAATAGTGTCATTAGACATGGGTATCTTATCTATTTCATCGCCAACCATTATTCGCATTATTTCCTTAAACGCAGGTTTGACTAAATTTTTTCCAATAGTATATGCTTTCATGTTATTAGCAATCATTTGGGAAACAACACAACTAGCTTTGAAAGCTATCTCAGAAATTTTAACTTTTTTTGTGAACTTCTTTGGTTCTTTTTTTGGCTACTTAAAAGTCTTTTGAAATAGTGAACGCACTTCAAGTGAAAATGTTGTTTAATAAAATGTCGGTGTAATTTGTTGTGCACCATCGATTCGTTGGTAAATGTATTTCCTCATATGATACACTCGGGAATAGGTTCATCTTCTGGACCACAACATGTGAAACCAATGGATATATAAGATTCATCGTACAACTGATACATTCCTTTACTCTGTTTTGACGACCAAGCAGTTGATGGTGAATTCTCACTAATTTTTGAAGTCTCGGAAGTTGATGGTGAGTCTTCACTCTGTTTTGACGTTTCAGAAGTTGATAGTGAGCTTTCAATCAGTTTCGAGGTCCGAGTAATAAATCTATCCATACTTATAGCAAAATAATATTTAATAACAATAATTTCGATTTTTCACAAATAAATTATTATTACCTGCACTCGCTAACGAAAAGTACAACACTGTCAAGGTTAAGTATAATTAAATATACAGTTTGTTCACGCTAAGAGGTACCAATAAATATTTCAGTTTGATGACCTTGTATTGAAATGGGGTTTTCGCTGAATGATAGATAGTACTTAAATACACGTTTTCAGATAAATTTCAAATTTCAAAGGGGGTGATGATATATCCCCCCATGGGCTTTATTTTTTTTATTTAACCATTCTGGATTTTGAATTAGAGATTTCATCAAAATAATGTGTAGTTTGGAAGTTCCTATTTAAAATTTTTTCATCGGAAATATTTGTTGTGATTAAATAATTGATAACTGATAATTTTAAGACACTGTCATATCAAATCGTCTGTGGTCAAATTAGAAAACGGTTTATAACGCTATATTATATTATTTATGTACAATATATGACTACTGTTATCATTATTCATTACCAGTTAATAGTTAATACCACGGCCTTAGACTAGTAGGTCTGGCGACTAGTGAACTTATAATGTGCCTTTAGTGCTCTAACTGCTTAATTTATTTTGATTCTAAATCCATTAATTTTCCTCCGAATTGGCAAAGAATAACTCAAAAGATAATTCGATTGCACCTATTGTTGACTGTTTAAAGTACTATGCGGCAGGCTACTCAAGTCATCAAATAATTAAAATATCAAGTTGCATAAAATGTAAATCAGCATTTACTGTGATATCAAATTTTAAACCAGAAGCTGATCTTACAAATATTAAAAGCAGAGGATGGTTAAAACACCCAAACCCATATTTGTACAGCTTAATAAGTGCAATTGAAGATGAATTCATGAAACATGTAAATAGCAATACAGTTTTTGATGATATTATTGATGGTTTGATTACTTAATATGGTTCTTTCACATTTCCATGTACTGAACATAAAGATTATGTAATATCGTTTACAATAAAATATTATATTAATATGCGTTTAAGACAGTATACAAGGCAATCCAATCAAGAAAAAGTAAAGGAAAATGCTAAAAAAAAAAAATTATCCAAATTTTGTACCTCTTAATCCTTAGAACTTTTAAACTATAATAATACAGGGTGCGGCAGAGCCGACTGACGAGTTTTGAAGGGTTATAAAAAACGAACAGTAAAACTTAAAGAAAAAAACTTTTTTTTATTAAAATAAGTATTGAATCCCATTTTTAAAAATTATTGTTTGAAAATTATATCTCGAATATGGCGGCCATCAGCACCAATACACTGTTGTAGACGATCTCTGAAGCTCTCATATGATTTTCGGCACGTTTCGACTGGTATGGCTTCGATTTCCTCGGTGATTTTCTGTTTAAGGTCTTCTATGGTATGTGGGCGATGTCTGAAAACCTTATCCTTAAGATAGCCCCAGAGGAAAAAATCACACATGCTTAAATCTTGAGACCGTGCTGGCCAGCCTATGTCTCCTCTTAGAGAGACTAACCGCCCAGGGAACATTTGTTGCAAAACACCAAGTGAAATTCGAGCTGTGTGTGCTGTAGCCCCATCTTATTTGAAACCATACACTCTCTAAATCATGGTCTTCAGCCATTTCCTCCAACCTATGCTGCAGATAAGTTTCCAACATCACAACATAACGAGCGGAAGTGACAGTGACGGTTCTGTTCTCGTCTTCAAAAAAGTACGGGCCGATCACCCCAAATTGGGACACACCACACCACACTGTCACTTTAGGAGAGTGTAGTGGTCTTTCGTGGAGCTGTCAATGGTTATTTGCAGACCAGTATCGATAATTTTGTTTATTTACAGTTCCAGAAAGATGAAAGTGGGCCACATCGCTACAGAAAAAAGTTGATGTCGGAGGGATTCGCAAAAGAATTTGCAGACAGAGATTTTTGCGGTTGTCGTAGTCAGTAGCATGTAACTATTGGACAAACATTAATTTATAGGGATGGAATGATAAATCTTCGTGAAGAATTCTCTCAAAGAACGGTCTGAGATTCCCAAAGCTACCGCCTGTTTCCAGGCAGAGCATCTTGGTGACTGCACATTTTCGGGGGTTCTTACCGTTCTGGGTGCTCCGTGTCCAAGTCCACTTAGGGTACTTATCCAAAATTAAATAGTGTTAGCAGAAGGAATAGATTCGGTACGTGGAATGCCGAAGTGTATACGAAAAGCCCTCTGTGTAGCGATCACAGAATGATTATTTTCGTAATACGCACGCACGACGAAACCACGATGTACACCTGTCCAGACCATGATTACGACTAAAAATGGCATTATCGTACAATTCAAAATATACCACTAATTAAGGCCTGCTCTTATCTTATCTCCGGTTAATGAGCTCGTTAAACTCGTCAGTCGGCTCTGCCGCACCAATTAAAATATACTATGTTTCCACATAATAGTTTTTTTTTTATAAATTACAAACTTTGACAAGTAGAGCGCACCACCTGGCCGGGTCCCGGACATTAACGGCACATTTATTATCGTGTTAAATGACGTGAGTTGCATGGGGCCAGTAGCGTATCCAGAATTTTTTTTCGGGAGGGGTTATAATTTATTTTTGTGGAATTTTATCTTAAAATGATTTATTAATGATAACGTTGTTATAATTTAACAATTTTCGGGGGGGTTACAACCCCCTAACCCCCCCTCTGGATACGCCACTGCATGGGGCTGGTTAATACCGTGATTAATAACTGATATTATCTAATATTGACACTCTACTTCTCTCGAACGAATTTTCATTTGGTTTTCTTAATTGTATGAAATTTTATATTGTTATTAAATTCATTATGGCTAAACGTAGTGGTTTAATTTCATCTTTTTTAAAAAAAAAAAAATTAAAAGTGCAGATGGTGATCCAACGAGTTCAGATTTTTATTTATGGCAGAACAAGTGTAAATCTATGAGTACATCAACAAATATCGTGCAATTGTTTTGTGAATGTGAGAATACAATTTTTCCATGTATCAACCAGCTTTTAAAAATTCTCATTACACTTCCAGTAACCACAGCGACTAGTGAACGCTCTTTTTCAACCCTTAAACGATTAAAAACGTATTTAAGAAATACGAGGGGGCAGTCACAGTTAAATGGATTGGCATAAATGAACATACGTAGAGACATTCCACTATCTATAGATCAAATAATTGATGAATTTAGTGTAAACGCCAAAAGAATGAATTTTCGCCTAGATTGAATTTTTTTTATATAATAATAAAGAATAAATATTAAAAATATACATTTTTATTTATGACATCCCCCCCATACCAAATTCCTGCGCACGCCACTGGTAATAGATCACTTGCTAGTTTCTGTCTACTATAGCCCATCCCAAAAATATTTCTATATACGCCACTGCTGCGGCAGTCCGGTAAAAATAACCCACATCGTGTTGCGGTTGTGGGGAGTGCCCGGACAAACGGGTGTACATAAAAAAGTGAGTGCTGTCATGGGATACTCGGTAGAAACGAAATTTCTTTTCTAACATATATTGCAGATTACAAATATATTTTAGTGGAACCATTCAAAATAAAACTAAATATCAATAAGTAAACGTGAAAAATAAATGAAAATGAAAATAATTATTATTGCTAGTTAATTACCTACTAGGGTAAAGTATGCAGTTATTGGCACCTTAAGAATTCGTTTTTGGTAGTTATTGGCACCTAAACTGCTCCATTACAAAATCGAATAGCAAATTATCAAATAAATAATATGATAACATCAAGATTGATAATAAAATAGTATCAATATGACCATATAATCGAAAAAAAATATCTCTAAAATTCATAATCAAACATTTTATATACGAAAAACAAAAATACTTGGTGCCAATAACTACACCCCTGCCAATAACACCATGCTTTACCCTATTATATCACAACAAAAACCCTTCGTAAGCTACGTGTACAAATAACTAAGTAAAATAAACATAAGATCTTTAAGCACTAAAAAGATGTGATACCACGAATAAATGCTAAGTATATTGAATTTAAGTAAATTTATTTTGTTTCAATAATTTATTTACTTGGCGAAGAACTATTTCTTAAAAGAAACAAAGGGTGATGAACAAAATAATTAAATGGCGAAGGACTATTAAAATATAACTTTTTATTACCTATTTAAAAAATATTATTATTATTATTAATATACTATTCTGAATAATTCCTTGTCAAGTAAATAAATGATTGAAACAAAATAAGTTTACTTCAATTCAATATACTTAGTAATTACTCATGATATCACTTCTTTATAGTGCTTAAAGATCTTTGTTTTTTTTTACTTTTGCCATTTTTACACGTAGTTTACGAATTATATTTGTTAATATTTCTGATGTTTTAGAGTTTATTAGGAATTAATTGATGCATACAAAATTAGTTATGTCGTATAACAAATTTACCTGTATTTTACACAGTTTAAATAGATAACTTCTGCTTCGGTATTATACTATACACACACCGTCGCGCGTCGTGCAGTTATTTTTTTTTTTACTCAGCTGGATTAATCATATTCAATAATCGAAATTACAGGTCTGTGATAACTGAAATATGATAAGTGTCTGTGATGTAATTTTTTCCAAATTTCTTGAAAATATTACATCGATAGTGGTGTCATCTCTCGTTGTAGAATCTGTTGGATTGTTTATCATATTATGTAAATTGAATGGATCCATAAGGAAAGAGTTTCCGATTTCATCATTAAAATTGTTGTTAAAGTCACCAAATTGTTATGATTTATAAATTATAATAATTATAAATGCACATAATATGCAGATCTTATGACGCTATTTCAAATCCTCGCTTTATACCCGTTTTCTATTACCTAGTCTATACCAAAAAAATGTAATCACAGCAAAGGTAAAGCACTAAGGAATATATGCAACACTTAATTTGTGTTTTGTTTTTTATAATATACGAGAAGTATCTAATATTTAATAATTAATGCTTACCTTCTTGTCACTGTTAACCGTTCTTCTGTAGTTATTTGATTACGAAGTTGAGAATACTTTTTAGATAATGATTCGCACATTTTTTGCAAAAGTTCGTCAGTAATATTCCCAAACAGAAATCTATTATTCAAACTTCCAAGAACATGCTCCATATTCTCAGCTGAAGCAATGGCGATACTCGAAGCATTAAAAAGAATAATACATGAAGAGCACCCAAAACATATTATATTTAGTGACTCCCTTAGTACTCTCATCAGCATCAAATACCAATTCCATCCTGGAGATATCGCAACAAAAATACAAAACAAGCTGTACGAGGCCTCGGCTAGAAACAAACAAATCACGATCATGTGGATTCCTGGCCATACGGGCATCCAAGGGAATGAGCTACAGGCTAAAATTTCCACCTTAAATGAGGAAGTAACAGTACTACCATCGCTAACATGGGATGACCTAAAAACCCAGATTAGTCAGATGTCCAACTACAAATGGCTACGGTTATGGAAGCATTAAACTTACAAACTGAACACAATTAAAAGTTCCACCAACCGATGGATTAACAGCTTTCTAAAAGGGAAAGAAGAAACAAAACTAAACCGCATGCGTATCGGTCATACGAGATTAACACAAGGATACCTAATTGCTAAGGAAGAAGCTCCCATATGTGAAGTTTGCGGTGTAAGGCTGACTTACAAACACATAATAACCGAATGTCTCAAGTACGAACAAGACAGACAAAGGATCGGAATCGACGAGTCACTCGACACCGCACTAGAACCAGAAACCAAGGACAATAACAAGATTATAGACTCCTAAAATCAACTAACTTATACAACTCAATTTAAAAACTATGTATACCTTTCCATTTTTTTTTATTTTTCAGAATATGTTATCATAATGTATACCCATTGTAACTAACTTGTGTGCCTACTTAGCTGTAACTAATGGCCTTAGATGCCGGGTTGTAAGTTATTACTAGATCAATAAAAAAAAAAATATATATATATGAAATAAAATTTTCTTATAACTATATTATTATAGATAGGTATATTTTTCAAAACCAGTATTCTTTTCGCAGTTATTTGCCTGTGCTTACAAAATATGGGTACCTGATATAAACCGGGCGTTCGATATGCTTTTCACATTACAATATAATAATCGTTACTTCATTATTAATGTGTATGTCTCATAGACGGACCTGACTAAACGACTCGGTAATTTGAAAAACGGCATTTCCGATATTAAGAACCATACATGGTACGGCGCTACAAATTGGTTGCAGATAATTAATCAAAAAACGGAGTCACCGTTTAAGCCCACTAATACCAGATGTATACCACCGGAGAATAGAGAACTGATGCCGTTGTGGAAAAAGGACGAAGAATTTTTCGATTTTTAATTTGTGATTATTGTTTTTACTTTTTTTTATGTAAGCTTATATAAATATATGAAGATAAAAAGCGTATGAAAATACTTTATGTTTATGAAATAACTAGAAAATTAGTTAAAACCAGGACAGTAGAAATTTCTAAATTTGAAATCTATAAAAATAACTGGACTGGACTGAATCCATAAAAATTTGGATGGTAGAAACCTGGTTTATACCATGGTTGAAATATACAAGGTTATTGCTTATTATATACCCCTTCTCAATCAAATATTTGATGATAAAACAAAAATGACAGCGTTAAGGGAGCCAATAATAATCAACTATGTAAGGGTGGGATTTTGAATTTGTTAGCTTCTTTTGGAGTATTTTTTATGATAAGAAAAATTGATATTTGTGATATCCCTTTACGCAACCATTCTGTTTCTTATGATAACAATCCGAGTCGATATTCAATAACCTGTATATTTCTACTATGAAGTATACCAGCATATACCAGTGATCCAGCAGTGAAGTCAATGTGAAAAAACATCGTTAAAAAATGTTGCTTAAGTAAATATGCATATGGTATGTATGTTAGTATGTGTGAGTCTGTATGAGTGTATGCATAAATGTATATATCGCCCGCCGCAGCGAAAAAGGTCGTATCTCTGTTTTCACAATTTTTTTTTTTCAAGTAATAAACAAAATAAATGAAAATATTTTGATTAATATTTTAAATTATAATTATAATTTAAAATATAAATATTAATTATATTAATTTTTAATAATAATTATAATTATTTTTTAAAGATTATTTTAATTTCTGTATAAAATTTTCAAAATATTTTCATTTATTTTGAACTGTTTAGGGACATTTTCAGTTTCCAATTTTATTAGTTTTTTTTTCTATGAATGTCAATAAAACTCTATTTATTGAGTAAAAATACTTGAAAATTTAATACAAGGCTCCTACCATATTTTTACATTGACATTTGAAAAATATTAAAAATCCTTTGTCACAGTTTTTTTTTATAAGCATTTAAATTTCAAATCTTGACAAAACATGGAAAAATCTCGAAAATTATCAAATTATTTTGAGTTAAGAATTCATAAAAATTTTTCTTTTTAAATCTAAGGTTTTAAAATGTAATACAAGATTCCTTACAAAATTATCTACTTTTATCAAAAAAAAAAAAAAATGTCTATAAGAAAGTCAAATTAAATTTTTATGAGCGTTTGAAGTTCAAATTTTTACAACATTGGATATTCACTCGATTTCTCGTGTAGCGATTTCCTTATTTTATTGTTATTTAAAAACGAATGACTGTAGATACATGAAAACTTCACTGAATGTTTATATTTAATTTCCTATATACCTTACAATTTTTAAAATATTTTGACTCTTCTTGAGCTGTTTACTGACATTTTCAGTTTTCAATTTTTTTAGTTTTTTTTTTTCTATAAATATCAATTAAGTTTTATCTGTGCAGCCAAAAAGTGTAAAAATTTAATACAAGGCTCCTGATATATTGATACAATATCAGTTGAAAAATATTAAAAATACATAGGCATAGAAATCAAGCTCAAAAACTTAGTGAGATTGATCGAAATTGTCTACTATTATTTGATGAACTGGCACTTAGTGTGGGATTGAAATATAACTTAAAAAAAGATTATATTTTTGGATTTCGAGACTTTGGACCAGATAATCGAAGCTCTGAGTTTGCTGACCATGTTCTTGTATTCATGATTAGAGGGCTAAAGCTACAGTTTCCCTGCAGCGTCAAACAGTAGAACAGCACGGCCGCGTCAGACGCCGACCTACGTCCAGTCCGGTAGTGACGCTAGACGCCGCTTCCAGACGCTGCAGGGAAATCGTACCTTAAGAAAGAAATGGAAGCAACCTGTAAGTTATTATTTTTATAAAGGTACTACAAGTACACTAACTCTAACTAATTTAATAACTAACGTCATAATAGCAGTCAATGAAGCAGGATTTAAAGTTAGAGCAACTGTTAGTGACCGATGAAAAACTAATGTTGTAGCAATGAACAACTTATTGCAGATAACTAACCAAAAAATAGTTAGTGCTGGTGGAGTTAACACTTATGTTGGTTATGTAGTTTACGAAGTTAAAGTATTGCATATTTATGACCCCCTCATCTTCTTAAGTGTGTAAGGGACAATCTTTTGACAAAAGACGCTACACTCATTAAAGATGGAAATAAATGTAGGGCTTCATGGAGGTATATTGTAAACCTAAATCAATAACAGTGTTACAATACACTGAGTAACTTACCCAACCCTGGATACCTACCTTGAAATTTTTTATTATGGACATTTGGAGCTGTGTAAGTTGCAATAAAATATTTCTTTCAGTGTCTGTTACGTTTTTTCTTCTTTTTGTAGCCATAGTTGGCAATATTAATAATATAAACAATGGTTAATAACTTATTACTCTGTCGTATTATTCATAATATTTATTTAAATTAAATTAAAATATAATGAAATTATTAATACGATCTATTATCAAAGTAAAAAAATTATAATTTTAATGATGATAATTGATGAATATTATAGACTTACCACTTTTTTGTAATTGATAACTGCATAACCATGGACATCACGGACTTGAAACACTTTTGTCACTTTGTAAATCAATCTGAAAGCCGTTTATTATAGGGCGATGTGCAATCTGTATATCTTTAAGGTCTATTCCCACTGCTCCGGGACGTGTCCGGCCCGGGCCTGGTCATATTTCAGCACGTCCGGGTAACCCGGGTTTCAGCATTCACACTATTCAGGATTCCGTCCGGGTTTACCTACAATTTTGTCAACACTTTGTCGTCAGTTGTGATCAGTATTTGTAACCACATGGTTGTATATTATATTTTAGTGTAATAATATTATTTACATAAATTATAAATTAAAAATTATAGTGATGTAGGCATACCTATTTGTAAATTATAGTATCGAATTGAGTATAGAGTTCACCTACATTTAAAGTATGTATAAATAATTTAATTACTTTATAATTTACGTAGTAATACACGAATTAATTTGAATAATTTTAATTTAATTATTAGAAAAATGGATTTTTCTATGAAAGAACTTGCGATGATGGCATTACTGCTTAACGAAGAAGAACAAGTAGCCCAAGAGCCTCGTAAGTACTGGGTTCACTCTGCTAGGAAGAAGCGTGATAACGAAGGAGAGTTCTAAACTTTATATAAGGAACTTATAGATGACGAAACTAAATTCCACGAATACTGGATGTCCATGTACTGTTTCGATGTCTTACTAAAAAAAATCGAAAAGTACATTAAAAAACAAGATACAAATTTCAGGAAATGTATACCACCCCTAAGCACCGTTTAGCTGTTTGTTTAAGGTAAGAAATTAATCTTCAGCGAACGTTTCTAGTTAACTTGAGCGATATTTTGCTGTATTTTAATGATACATGTATTGTATAGTAGGTAATATTTATCTAATAATAAGTAAACCAAATTGTTTGTATTATTAAAAACAAAAAATAATTTACTATCTTTCACAGAAGTAAAATTTGAACTCATATTGAAAAATATCTTAAAAAGTCTAAGAGGTAAGACTGATAATACATAATATTATTTAAGATAATAATAACTAATATTCAAAATAAAAAGAATAACTTAGAATATTTTTAATAATACTTTTTTTTTCTATAGGTAAAAATTAATATATAATCGGTATAATCATATTTACTAGTTCCTATAATAAATAAAACAAATTGTTTATAAACATAGAATTAGAAATTATTTAAACATAAAAACTCAGAGTTACCTATTTTGGTATTGTGGTTGCTCATCGTGTCTATCATGTGAAGTCACATCAGTTATGTTATGTTGTAATAATCCATAATTTTGAGGATTTTGTTCATCAGGTGGAATCGGAATGTATAACTGTTGACGTTGGTTGTTCATAAACTGTTGCATTTCGAGATCTTGAACTACATTAAAAATCTTAGTTTTAGCTAAATTGATATTATACGAATTGAACGACCTCATCGTGGCTGCGATTCCCATAAAAAATGCATGTGAATGGTCTTATTCGTTAACTTTGTCTTCTGTACGTTCCTTATTTTCTAAAATATACCTCATCAACGTCGATGAGGTTGTTTCTTGGTCTTTTTTTCCTGATACCACCCACGCCAATTCGAGAAGATCCACGTTGAATACATAGTTGTGGTTCTATTTGCATGGAAAGATGCACTATTGAATTACCTGCGGTATCATTAACAGTTTGTTTCTCCGAGTTACTACTTATACTATGAGGTCTAACGTTTTCTAGTGCTTCATAGTCATCGTCCTCTTCTGAACTACTGTGACTTTCAATGTTTGTAGTTGTTGGTCTTTCTTGGAAATACGGCTTTAAAAAACTAAATTGATCTTCATATTTATATTTCATATTTTTTTTTGAAGCTTGACCACTTGAAGTCTTTTTTTTATTGAGGACTTTTCTATACTGGTCTCTTATATTTGACCACTTAGTTTTACACATGGCACCTAAAATTTAAAAAAAAAAACCAGTACCATAACCAGAGTCTAGATTAAAGGTCTTAGTCCTTCAGTAATAAATTACTGAAAATTACCATTTAATTCACAGTTTTGAAAAATTTTATTTATATAATTATTAAAAAAAATTATTAAAATTAAGAAATTATTTGAATAAAAAACTGTCTGAATCACTTTTCGATGTACCTATTGATTTTACAATGATACATATTATTTTATTTTTTGTGTCTGTAATCACTTTTTAGTACAGTAAAAATGGTTAGATTTTCTTTAACCGTATGTTTTATGATAGGAAAGTGAATCTAGTTGGTACTTTGGAGGGTCAAAAGTAAAAAATTTCAAGTAGTTTTCAAAAGCGACGGGAATAACAAAAACATTTTTTTTAAAAAACGGAAATTGAACCCAAATTTGGTTTTCGACAAAATCGATTTTGGTTTTTGTTATAACTCTATAAAACAAATTAGGTTCCTTATAATATACCTTATATACATGAAATTTTAAATTAATGTTTATATTACCATTTTCTACACAATATAAAATTTTAAAAATATTTTGACTCGTTTTGAGCTGTTTACGTACATTTTTAGTTTCCAATATTTTTAGTTTTTTTTTTCTAAATATGTCAATACAATTTTATTTGTTTGGTCAAAAGTGTGAAAAATTCATATAAGGCTCCTGATATATTGTTACAATAGCAGTTGAAAAATATTAAAAATATATAAGCACAATTTTTTATAAACATTGAAAGTTCGATCTTAAAAAAAAAATGTAAAAATAATTCTTATGTTAAAAATATAAAATGTTCAACTTTTATAGCTAAGGATCGAAAATGTAAAACAAGGTTCAATATAAGTAAATTATTCTGTAACCGAAAAATATAAAAACTCAGTATTTATAAAGTTATTTTAAGATTAACTTTATACCAAATTACATATTAATTTAATTTATTTAATAATCAAGAATAATAATTTTAGTTATTATTTTGTGATTTATAAAATTAATTATCACAATGATACATAATGTCATAACTAAACAAAAAATTATAAAATAAATTTCAGATTTTTGGCAACAGGAGGAGATTCCTTCAAAACCATATTATTTAGCTATCGTTTAGGACATTCCACGGTGTATGAAATAGTGAAGGATACTTGTAAAATATTGGTTGAACAATTAATGCCAGAAGTAATGCCACTTCCTACAGAAAAGAAATGGAAAGAGATCGCAGACGAGTTTTGGAGTTGTTGGAATTTTCCAAATGGTATTGGGTCATTAGATAGCAAACATGTTGTGATTCAGGCTCCACCGAGTAGCGGGTCTCAATATTTTAACTATAAAAAAACATTTTCTGTAGTACTTATGGCACTTGTAGATGCACATTACAATTTTATTATAGTCGATGTTGGTGCATACGGCAGAAATAGTGACGGTGGGATTTTTATGCACTCAAAATTGGGAAAAGGATTAAAATGACTATAAAAATAAACTGTGCTTGTTTATTTTTTAGATTTTTTGGTAACAGAATCAACTACTTACGTGGAATCTTGTTTTACATTTTGTCAAAATTCGATCTTTAAATGCTTATAAAAAAAAATTGTGCGTATGTATTTTTAATATTTTTCAACTGATATTGTAACAATATATCAGGAGCCTTGTATTAAATTTTTACACTTTTTGGCCCAACAGATAAAACTTAATTGATATTTATAGAAAAAAAAACTAAAAAAATTGAAAACTGAAAATGTCAGTTAACAGCTCAAGAAGAGTCAAATTATTTTCAAAATTATATGGTGTACAGGAAATGCTAATATAAACATTCAGTGAAATTTTCAAGTATCTACAGTCATTTGTTTTTTAATTACAACAAAATTAGAAAATCGTTACATGAGAAATCAAATGTTGTAAAAATATGAATTTCAAACTCTCATAAAAATTTAATTTGAGTTTCTTGTAGACATTTTTTTGTTTAATAAAGGTAGACAAACTTATGAGGAATCTTGTGTTACATTTTCATATTTTAGATTTAAAAAGAAAAAATTATATAGGTAAAATCGTTAGAGGGCAAGTTAAGCTAATAAATAACACTAACTTCAAACCTCTACTATCCACTACTTTTTTTTTCATATCCTTAAAGTATTAAAAAAAAATAAAAATATTTTTACATATTTAAATATTTCTATATATAGGTATGACTTAAATAGTACCTACATGCAAAATTAAGTGAAAAAATAAAAATAATATATATACATACCTTCCACTAGTGCAGCATTTCCCAAGTCATGGGTCGCGAAATTTTTTTGATGGGTCGTGACTCGCGGTTACGATTACGCTTATTTCAGTATTTTTGTATTTTTGTATTTTTTTATAATTTATTTTATTTATTTATTATGTATTATGTATAAAGTATTATATTTTATAAAAATTCAATGATAAAATTAGTAATAATAAAAATATTATTTATTTAAGGCATACTTGATTTTTTTTTTAGCAGGGGGTCGCTTACCCAATAAATATTAAATTTATGTTTCGCCATTGCAATAAGTTTGGGAAATACTGCATTAGTGTATCCATGATATTGAAGAAAAATATAAGGAACAACCTCATTTAACGAACGATGCTAACTATATAATAACTGCGTATTTCCAATAATATAGCTTAGGTATTGTGTGTGATAAACTCATATTATAGTATGAATTGCACTTATTATAGAAATTGAAGAGAAGAAATTTATCCAAGCTTGAGGCTTCGTGGGCACCCCGCCTAGCTGTATAGAACCCAATTGAATTATTCAATGAAAATATATATTTGTGCTAAATTATTACAATTTAAGTAGGTACCTAGGTACCTTAGGGTAGCCCTTAGCTTATTCTTGTAAATGTTTTTTTTAATTGTACAGCTTGTGGCACTCACCTATTTTTTGTTAATACATTAGTAAATATTAACTGAAAAGTTTTAAATCAAACATTCAATTTTAAGACGTGCCCCTGGGAATTGAAGTTCAGTAATTATGTAATTTTTTATGAAATTCTCAAACATTGAGCTATCATTTTTTTTAAACCAAAAACATTTAACATTTACTATTTTATATAGCAAATTTTATGACGATTTAAAAAATATCACTTGACATTATTACATATTATGTTATTAGCGGCATAGTTATAATTGTATTCAAAAATTAAATAAAAGTTCAAAAAATCTGGCGAAACCGTTTTTTTTATTTTTTTTTGTATTTATACCAGTCAAATGGTTCAAAATATATTAAAATTACCTATGTACAAAACTATTGTAGCATGTAAATTTATATATACGTAGTATTCAACTAAATTCCAAAAGAATCTTAGTAAGATTGAAGTATAGTTATTATATTTGTATAAAAATCGTGTACCTATTAATAATTTTAATCTAAACACTGTGTTTATCTCGAAAATAATCTAAGTATAGGAAATAATTCGTAAATTCTTACAAAAAGCAACAGTAAATGAACAAACAGAAGTTACTTACAAAACTTTAATTGAATGAAGTATACAAAATTCAGTTAAAACTCTGTAATTTGTTACAACTGCAGTTAATAGTGGTCGGTTAGGTGATACTTGCACGTGTATTGTAAGAAAGACTTTTAGGAAAAAAATTATTTTGTTTGCCCTGCAGACATCATATTTATAAGATAATTTTTCAAAGTGTTTTTGAGGAAAAATTAAATAAACCATCAGCGAAAGACGTTCCTATTTTCAAAAGATTCCAGCACTCGTGGAATAAAATAAACAAGGACGATTTTTCTCCAGGTATTTCGGTCAAGTAAATTAAAAAAATTATTAACCTACATTTAACAAGAGTCTTAGAGTTTGTAAAGTAACATTTGAATACAACCTCGAAACGATTACAAGGAGTTACTCAAGTTAATAATGTTTTTTCTAGGTGGTAAACCAAATAATACTACATTTTTTCATACTCCCAGTGCAATTCACTATGCAAAAGCTATTTATTGTCTTAAAATATAGATTTTTCCTAATGAATTCGAATTAAGTACTCGGAAAAGAAAGGACTTCGTGATATTGGTGTATTTGTAGTTACAATTTAAATCGAAGCATGGTTTAAAACGACGTAGGTACGCTGCAGCCGCACCATATCAAGATTTACTATTCATACGATAATTTTACAACTAAGTTCAATTGATAATATATTATCTCGGGTAGCACTGAATAAATGTCAAAATCATTTGTGGTATCTAACACCCGAAGCAGTTGCATTGGCATTTTTTGATAAAACTATTTCTATTGAATCAAAAAGAAAATGATCTTTAAACTAACTAATGAAATAGATTTAAATGACACAAACAAACGATTAAATTAAATTGAATTAACTTAATTTAAAAGAATCAGAAATTCCAGAATTTGTGGAAAACGAACTAGAATTTTTCGTCTCAAGTGAAACATTCGATTTTTTCAAAATATTTAATTTGGATACAGAATTTTTTTTAAGTGACCCATCAGATTGGAGTGAAAACTTATCTTTTCAGAATGCATTGCAAAAGGTCATTTAACTGAAAACGGTCAATAATACGGCCGAGAGGGGAATAACATTGATTGAAGACTACAATTCAATACTCACCCCCATGAGGAACAAAAACAATTAGTGTTACAAATTGTAAGTGATTACAGAAAAATATTTACTGACTGCAAAAAGGAAAATATTGCATAATGCAATTGAAAATTGCAAAACATTAAAAAAAAAATGTGACTAAACATAATATAAGTAATTATTTTAAAACATAATAGGAAATTTAATTTTAATAATTTTGTACATACAAAATTTTAATGTATTTTGAATCGTTTGACTAGCATGAATAAAAAAACAATAAAAAACGGTTTAGCCAGATTTTTTGAGCTTTCACTTGTTTTTTGCATAAAATTACAACTTTGCCGGTAATAAGATATATAATAAGGTCAAAAGTGACTTTTTTAAAATCGTCATAAAACTTACTACCTTAAATAATTAATATTTAATATTCTTTGGTTGAAAAAAAAATGTACAGCCTAATGTTTAGTAGTTTTCGTAAAAAATTACAAAACTACTAAACTTCAAGTTCCCAGGGGCGCGTCTTAAAATTGAACGATTAATTTCAAATTTTAAAGTTAATATTAAATTTGGTTTTTGCAAAAAATTGGTGAGTGCCACAAAAACAATGTTAATATTAATTTTTAAGGGTCTCCTTAAGATACCTATTTAATTTACTTTTTATGTAAAGTTACAATCATCCAATCTCATCCAATCTACAACAATATATTGATCATTTTATTAAGCTTTGTCAATATATAATTGTATGATAAATGATAATATTGTACAAAATGTCAAAATGAGGTAAAATGTTGAATTAATAATTTGAATCATACCCATCTACCTAACATTATTTATATGTTTACGTACCTGTTACATATTATATTATGTATATTGTATAGTATACACTTTTGAATTTCGATACATATTCTTGTATGTAAAAGTATTTAAAATAATTATATAAATATATAAACGAACATATTATATAACATATACCTACATAATATATTAATAAACCTATACAATATAATATATAATACACATAATATGTACGATTTAATTCGTTTAAAGTTGTGCACCATTGTGCTAATTTATATCTTCTTCTTCTTCGGTAAACTCGGCCACTAGGACCATCCCGACATACATCCTTGCCTCCAGTTTTCTCTATTCGATGCCTGTAATCTCCAATCTTCTCCTTCACCTAATGCTTTCACATCATCCCTAACTCCGTCCTCCCATCTCCGACGTGGTCTTCACAGCGGTCTTTTTCCATTAGGGTTCTCCTCCAGTACCATACGTATGAGTGGGTTTTGACTACGCCAGGCATGCCCAGCCCAAAGCAATCTTCTGTTCTTTATTGTTTCGAGTATACTGGGTTTATGAAAGAGTGTCTCTAGTTCATCATTTTTCCTTATTCTCCATTCTTCACTAAGCATGTCTTTTACTGGTCCAAAGATCTTCCTCAGTATTTTTCTTTCTAGAACTAAGAGTTTTCTTTCATCACTTTTCCTTAATGGCCACGCCTCAGCTCCATAAGTAATAACAGGTCGTATTAATTTTAACTCTCTTGAAAGTGATCTTGATCCCAGTAATTTCGCAAGACCATAAAGGCATTTATTTCCTGACTGAATTCTTGTTCCTATTTCTATTTCGATTTCATTTCTCTCTGAAAGTATGGATCCTAGGTACTTAAATTGTCTTGTTCTTTTGAAATTTCGGTTGTTGATGTTAAGAGTTGGATATAATCTTATAGTGTCTCGTCTTCCTACAACCATATATTCCGTTTTGTCCTCATTGATATGGAGTCCAACTTTCAGTGCTGCTTTCTCCAGCCGGTTTAATAAATCTTTTAGTCCGTCTTGTGAATCCTCCATGATCACCAGATCATCTGCATAAGCCAGAAGTCCTATGGACGATTCCTGGAATTTAACTCCTTCTTGCGGTGGATATTCATCTCTCTTACAACTTTCTCTACTACTATATTAAATAAGATTGGTGACATAGCGTCTCCCTGTCTTAATCCCGATTTAACTAAAATTGGGTCTGATTTTGTATTTCCAACCTTAACTTTGACAAATGTTTCCAAAATGCTTATCCCAATCAGTTTTATAAGCTTGTCCTGAAAATGGAATTCTCTCAAGATGTTTATTAAGCTTTCTCTATGGATGCTATCATACGCCTTCTTAAAATCTATGAAAAGAACGTGTATTTCTCTATCGAACTCCCAGATTTTTTGAAATATTTGTCTTAAAATAAATATCTGGTCTGTGGTCGATCTTCCAGGTCTGAAGCCACCTTGGTAATTGCCAATAATTTGTTCTGCTTTTGTTTTTATTCTTGTTAATAGGCAATTTGAAAAAAATTTATACGCCACGTTTAAGAGGGCTATCCCACGATAGTTATTGCAGTCTTGTTTACTTCCTTTTTTATGAATTGGACAAATCACCGCTGTGTTCCATTCTTCAGGCATTTTTTCAGTTGTCCAGACTTCGTGAATTACCTTCCATAACCACTTTACCATTTCCTCTCCGCCTTCCTTTAAGAGCTCTGATTGAATGTCATCCTCTCCGGGGATTTGTTATTCTTTAGCATGTTTATCTGTAATTTTATTTCCTCCAAGGTCGGTTCTTCACAATCCTGTGATTCTTTTATTTCCTGATTAAAATTAAAATTAAAGGTTTCATTCGGTTCTTCACAGTTTAGCAACTTTTCAAAGTAGCTAGCCCATTTCTTTGCCAACTCTTCACTTGTAGTTATCAGGGAGCCATCATCATCAATTAGAAATCTTTCTTTCTTTTTGTATCCACCTCTGAGATCATTCACTCGCTTATACATATCCCTAGTTCTGTGTGTTTTATAATCGAGTTCTGCTGTTTCTAATATGTTTTGAACGTATTTCCTCTTTTCACATCTCAATATCTTGCTGGCTTCTTTTTGGCGAGTTCTAAATCTTCTCAGTGTTACTTCGTTGTTAGTGTCAATTAACAACTCTTGTCTTGCTAATTTTCTTCTTTGTACAGCTTCTTCACATATCGTATTGAACCATGGTTTTGTTTTCGATACTTTTTTTCCCAAGACTTTCGTTGATGCTTCATTTATGCTTTCTTTTACATGTTCCCATGTTTTATCAACATTTAAGTTTCTTTCTATATCTAGTTGTTTACTTTTAATAATATTCTGAAAGCACTCTACATACTCTTTGCATATTTGTTTGTCCTTTAGTTTATTTATATCGGTTCGTCCTTTGTTTGTTAAATTACCTTTCTTATATTTCTTAATTTTAACTTTCATCCATATACCAACCAGTAGGTGGTCCGAGTCCATATCAGCTCCCCGTAAAGTTCTTATATTCAGATTTCAGAATACTATTTTTGAATCTATTATTTATTAGGTCATGGTCAATTTTTTTTTTATGTCTCCCATTCGGCGAGATCCATGTATATTTATGTATGTCTTTTCGTTGGAACATAGTACTTTTGACCACCAAACCCTTTCCTAAAGCGAAGTCGATTAGTTTAGTACCATTATCGTTGGTGCTGGAATGTAGGCTGTAGTTTCCAATAGTCGATTTGTAGCACTCTTCCCTTCCTATTTTTGCATTGAAATCGCCTAGTACTAATTTTATATCATCTTTTGACATGCTAAACGTATCTTCTAGTGTTGCATAAAACAGCTCTTTTTCTTCTTCATTCTTATCCTCAGTTGGAGCATGCGCGTTGATTAATACCATGTCAAAATTGTCTGTTTTAATTGTTAAAGTTGTAATTCTCGGATTTATATCTCTAAACTCCTTTACTGAATGTATAATTGATTCGTGCACAGCAAAACCGGTTCCCAGTTTATGACCTTTTTTGCATTTTCCGTTGAAGATGGTTGTTTGAGACACTTTTGTTGACCCGGCATCTTCCCATCTAATTTCTTGAAGTGCTACACACTTCGTTCCATATATTTCTAATTCCTTGACCAAATCCAAAGCCGCACCTGATTTGTACAGAGATCGCACATTCCAAGTACCCCAAAATTGTTCCGTTTTCCAGTTTCCAGTCGTTTTACCATATACTCTAGTCCGAGGCTTGTTGTATGAATCCTGAACAAAAAGCTTTTTACAAGGCAGGGTCATCAACCCTGCACTCAACCCCCAACCTGGAGGACCAGACTACCCCAACCAATTAAGGTCAGGGTAGGGCTACTGCAGCATACTTGTTAAGGTACACTGGGCGATGGACGCGCCAATTTCCCTACGCCTAATTTATATAATTATTTCAAATATTTTTACATAGGTACCTATACAGGAATATTTATCAAAAGTGTAACTTATACATAATAATATACAATAGGACATAGGTTGTTTCATTAAGAACGCCGCATTTATTCTTGTTATAACTTTATTAAAAAAAATTATTTTGAACAAAAAAATTATATCAACATGTAGTATATTTCTCCGATTTAAGTGAGAATAATATGTCCACCTCGGCTTCGCTGGAAAGCTTTTGTTCGGATCAGGAAATTTACTATCACTTGCTGACACATCTGCGGGTCTAGTTCACTAATGACACGACGTATTTCTTCTTTAAGTTCTTCAATTGTTCGTGGTTTGCTTTCGTAGACATGAGCTTTGAAGTAACTCCAGAAGAAAAAATCCATTAGAGTTAACAGTTAAATCACACGATTTCGGAGGCCAGTTCTGATAACCACATAGTGAAAGAAGTCGGCCCTCAAATTTTTTGTGCAATAACATTATTGTCACACGAGCAGTGTAGGAAGTAGCGGTGTCCAGCAGGACATACACATGTTTCCAATCACTAAAACCTCGTATGAATATCTACTCCAGAAACACGTTCATATGCGATACATATGCAACAAAATAGAACTTTATCTTTGGCACTGTAAGATAACCATTTTCTATAACTACCGTCCTTTCGTTTATATGCTTTGTCAGTAGTAAATGGAATTTTGTTTGTTGGTTGATGTGCGTGAAATAACCAATACATGGCATTATTAGTTGAATCCGGTTTTTTGAAAAAAATACCAACAGTACTTTGTTCTACAGACCGATCGGTTTGATCGGTATTGGAATTAGAAACTTAAGATTCACCTGTAAAATCAATTGCAATAGTTAAAGGTTCAAAAAAAATTACTAAATAAACATTTTCACATTATAAATATTATATACAACAATCTAAGACCAAAGTTAATAATTACCCAATTCTAAAATTGGGACTTCAACAATTGTGTGTTCCACAGAGTGATCGGTATTGGAATTAGAAACTTCAGATTCACCTGTAAAACCAATTGCAATAGTTAAAGGTTCAAAAAAAAAAAATACTAAATAAACATTTTCACATTAAATAATATTATATACAACAATCTAAGACCAAAGTAAATAATTACCTAATTCTACAGTTGGAACTTCCAAAATAGTTTTTTTCAGTATTGGAATTGAAAACTTCAGATTCATCAATACAATTTATAGTATTATAGCAATAATTAGATTTAAAAAAATATAATTGTAAGTTTCTAATAGATTTATACATATTGAATAGGTAGTTTTAAACATTTTTATAATTTAAAAATAATTTAATATTATGGCGGTGTATAAAGTACTTAAGTAGTTAAGTCAAAATAACTTAAGATATAAAAAGAATTTATAAATACATAAGAATATAATTAAGCTTTCAGTCTGCAAGTAGGCAATTGAAGAAAAGAAGAAGATAATTGTTGATAATAATCTAAAATATTTAAATTAAGTGCCAGATTACTATATTTGTGAGAATGGAAGACCATTTCTGTACGTCCGGAGTTTGTTACTTTAAGTTGACGATTCATTCTGCAAATACTAGCGAATTACTACGTTTTATTTCACATCGCAGTACTGTATCCGTAGAAATAACTGTCATTTCCGTTTACAGTTTTCTGGTATGCAACTATACCGACCATCTAGGTCTCTACTTGTATCCAGAACTGGGAGGGCTGCTGTCCCTCCCCAGTTTCATTTAGTCGCCTGCATGGATTTCTCTGGGTTCGATTGCCCCAGACTTACCTTTTCATAGGGGCCCCAAAATCTTAGTTGCGTCAATGATTAATTTATGACATTTTTAGTAGATATAACATGCTATTTGAAATCCAAAAATTGATAGTGGATCATCTCACAAATATAGAGAAGGCCGTGAGGGGAAAAAGTGTTCTACAATTTTAGAAAAGCATGTAGGTACTTATCTAAAGTTTAAAAAAAAAAAATCAAACTTTTCGTAATGATCAGTGTTTTTAATAAAACGACCACACTGTAGAGACGTACCACCTATATTATATATTTTTATAAAAAAGTATCCTAGTACCTACTTTGATAAAATGTTTTCTGTTGAGTGTTTTTTTATAAATATTTTGTTTATATTTTTTTTCTGTTCAATTGTTTAAAATAAAATAAATCATGTACTTCTGTATGTTTTTAATGTTATTGAACTTTTCAAATACACTAGCAATTCCAATATCGGGTTCAAATAATGAAAATAAGTATTATAATCCAAATCATGAATATAATATATCATGGGACTATGATCAACAAGTAAATAACTTAGTTAACCATCAAAGTAATTTTGTTGATTAAGTTATTATAAAACCATACTATTTATTAATATAATAATACATACGAAAATATTAGTAAGATAAAAATTAAATACATAATTGGTATGTCTATATTGATATTTTTACAAACTAAATGTAAATCGTAAGTTATTGTACGTAAAATATTGTTAACTCGAATACTTAAAATCTTTAGGCCGCTTTAGACGTACGCGTTTTCTCGCGAGATTGGAACGCGGCGTTCCATTCGTACACGAAAGAGTGTGCGTATAAATATAAAATTGGCATTGAGGAAAGCCTACAGGATTTGAACATGTTTCTGCCTGCTTTGACGTGCGCGATACTTGTCTTTACACAGAAACGTTTATCGTTCACGATTTGCGCGTATACTGAACTGATGCGTAGCCCGCGTAAGGTGAAACAGAAACAATTTTAATTAATAAAAAGTTTAGTTTGTATTATAGTTAAAAGTTTTGTGCGATTACAAGTAATAATAATAATAAAGTAATAGGTAGTATAAAGTTACTGGTTTGGTGCGTTTAAAAATTACGATATAAGCCTATTTTTTATTAATTACAATTTTTTTTTATATTTTTCTACTCCGAAAAAATGAGTGACTCAAGATATTTATCAAAGGAATTTATTTCCGAATTTTTAGAAAAATATCGTGAGTTCCCATGCTTATGGAAAATTAAATCGAAGGATTACACAAATAAAAATTTAAAAAATAGAGCCTACGACGAGTTACTAAAAGTGTGTAAAAGTATTAACCCAGAAGCCAATCGGGATTTTGTTGTTAAGAAAATCCAAAGCTTTAGAGGATCATTTCGAAAAGAATTGAAAAAAGTTGAAGATTCAAAAAGAAGCGGAAGATCTGCAGATGATGTCCATATTCCAACCTTGTGGTATTACCATTTGTTGGAATTCACGGTTGATCAAGAACTTCCCACTGATAGTGTTAGTAATTTTAATATCGAAGCAGAAGATTTAGATATTACAGGTGGTGATATTACAGATGAGGTAAGACAAAAATATGATTTACATTTAATTATTTTATAATATTATAATTGCATTAATATATTATACTAGCAACTTTCGCTTATTAATTTTAATTAAGTTCATTTACCTATTGATCAAATATTTTTCCTGGGCGAAAATTCTGAAAATTTTAGTTTATGTAATCATAAGCACTGGAATTTTTGTTATAAGTTTTAGATTCTTAGCGAAACGATGAATGTATTGATTTTACCATGATATCTATGTGTTTTTGTTTAGTTTTATTTTTTAATTTTTACAAATTTTTTTTTGTTTCTATGTACACGATATATATCTATATGTATGTACACGAGAAATATAGTCGAAATAATGGTTCAATTTTCAACTTCAGTTCGATGGGAAATTGAATGCAGTTGGTGCATTGGGGAGATAAAAAAAAAAATTAAGTAAAACGGTAATTTTTACGCAAAATCAGTTTTTGGTGTAACTCTAAAACAAATGATCATAGATACTCGCAATTTTCACTGAATATTTATATATTATATATTAGAATTTGCTATACACGAAAAATATTGACTTGTTTTGAGCTGTTTACTTTGAGTTGAAACTTTTCAGTTTCCAATGTTTTTATTTTTTTTCTCAACACAATTTTGGTTGGGTCAAAAATGTTGAAAATGTTAATTCAATGCTCTTAATATATTGTTACAATGGCAGTTGAAAAATATTTAAAATACATAGTCACAATTTGTTTTATATGCATTCAAAGTTCAATTTTTTACAAAATACGTAAAAATCACGAAAATGTGCAAATTATTTAGAGAAAATCCTAAAAAATTGTATATATAAATCTATAATTTGAATTATGTTTCTGATATTTTGTATATTATATATTTATATTAAGTATGTCATTTGTATAACAATATAAGTACAAATAATTAAAATATATAGGTATTACATTATTATTATTAATATTATTAGGTACACTTTTTATACACAAAAAAGAAGGATAATATAGGTACCTATACTTAAAACATACCTATATACATTATTTTATTATAGTACAGTTTTATGGTATAAACAATAAATATAAGTAGGTAGTGTAATTTGTATTAAGCTCTTCCAGCTTTTATCATATCTCCTTGAAATTCAACTGATCCTTCATTATTATAAAAGTGCATATATTTATCTCTGTTTATTTTTGCATCATCGGAAACATTATTGGTACGTGTATTTTGTAGTCCAGGAAGTTCATTATTACCATTTTCTCTCCAATCTCCATTATTTAATATGTTGTTGCCATCTAGTCTATCAAACATTGTTGTGGTGACGTAAGAACTTCCTCGTTTTCTTAAGAAGTTATGAAGTGCGCATATCACCAACACGGCATATGATGCCTTTTCTGGGCTTAAGTGAATAGCTCCTTGTAATAACCTAAATCTTGATGTGATAAGTCCAAAGGTGTTTTCAACACAATTCCTTGCCCTAGACAGTCTATAGTTAAATATTCTTTTTTCTTCTGTCAATTCACGTTGCGCGTACGGTTTTAAAATATTATTATGCAGAGCAAAAGCTTCATCACCAAGGAAAACAAAATTTAAATTATTTAAGTTGTAAATTTCCCTTTTTTAGGTCCTCGTAAAACTTAGTGAATTCTATTACACCTCCATCGGATAATCTTCCATTTTTTCCTACATCGACGTATATGAATTCATAATTGCTATTTACAATCGCCATCAAAACAATACTATAAAATCCTTTATAATTGTAGAATTGAGCGCCAGTCCCGGGGAGTTGCAAAATTCGTATGTGCTTTCCATCGATTGAACCACCACAGTTTACAAATTGCCATCGATCACAAAATCCCATTGCAACAGTTTTCCATTCATCTTTCGTTGTAGGGAACTAAAATAAAATGTTTTGTAAAAATGTATTTATACTGGTGTATATTAAAATATTATATTGTACCTATACAATAGTTAGTTTAATAATGGTCAATAGGTCAACTATAGTTCAATTACATATATTATTTATTTATTTGTATTTAAATAAATAAAAAGGTGGGCAGATGGGTGTCGCTCTGATGTACAGTAAGTTACAAGTTGGTCACTGTAATGGATTATGTTAAAATTAAATTCAATGAAATATTAACATTGTACAAGAAAAACGATTCTGAGCTAAAACAAAAAAAAATTATAAAAATCGGAAATATCTTATGGCTATAAATAGCGCAACTTTCCGGTGAACATTTTCTTTTTAATAAAAGAAGAAAAACTTGTTGGGAACCTTCTATTAAAATTTCTTATCTTAGCTATGAAAAAAAATCTTTTATGAATTTCTATAACTGAAAAATAATTTACAAAATTTGAAAAAATTATCATGGATATAAATTATAAATAGCTCAAAATAGTCAAAATAGTTCGAACATTATACCATGTATGGAAAATGATGACATTTCATGAGTTTGATGGTTATTCGTTTCGGAAATACAACAACAAAAAAAAAACCGATTTTTTCAAAAATTCGTTTTCCGTAAAAATGACCACATTTTTGTCATTTTTTTTTTGGTTTTTCTTGACGCTTTCTAAAACTACTTAGAGTTTTCGATCTTGACCTCCCATAAGTACCAACTTCATTCACTTTTCTATCAGAAAAGATGCTAATCTCAAAAATCGGTGCATTTTTGAGATTTTACAATTCAAAATGTTGCTGACAGACAGAAAAAAAACACATCGTATGGTAAAATCAATGCACTCATCGTTTCGCTCACAATCTAAAATGTATAAATTTAATTTAAATTTAAAATTTTTGAATTATCGTAAAACGAATTTATATTATTTGTTTAGGGCTGTTCAAATATACAAACTCATAATATAAACAATGATTTTAATGATGATGGTACTCAAGTTAATCCAACAGCGACCAAATTTTTTACTACCACTCCTCATGTCCCCACAAAAAAAAAACGAAAAGCCAATGATCTTCAAAAAAAAATGTTCAGAAGCGTTATCTAAAGAAGATATTAACGAATATGACGCTATTGGGATAAATGTTTCTTCGAAACTGAAACGGATGGATCCGACACAATCCATATAATATGCAGATGCACTTATCCATAAAGTATTAACACAAGGATTATTAGGAAACTTAACACCAGAATTGGATATTTGTGCTAAGTCCACGGTCCCGATCCCACAAAATTATGAACAATTTCCTATGTATCCAAACTATTCGTATAACTATCTTCGACCAAACTCTTATACATCAAACTCCATAAATGTATCAAGTCCATCACCATCCATTCAAGCAGATAACATTAATGATACACCAATGGCAACATTATATCCAAGTACATACAATAATATTGATCAAAATATGCAAAATTAAAAATCTATTAACCAATACATTGTTTTTAATTATGTAACTATAATAAATAAATATATATAATTTTTTTTATGCAAAGGTAACAACAATTTATTTTATATTTAATTTAAAGTAGAAGTTTAATTTTTATGTTTTTATTTCGTAATTTTACCAAGAAGGTTTTTTTTTATTTATTTCAATCAAAAATATACTATAGCTCAAGTATATTATATTTATAATAATCTAAAAAAAGATTCATTATTTTATTATTTATTTTATAATATAAATAATTTGTTTGACTTAATTTACACCATTTGTTTTAAAGGAAGTTCCTAGTAAACTATTTTATTTTGTTATTTATGGAAAATATAAAATATACTTAATTTTTTTTGTTATACTTGGTTTTTTTTTTGTAATTCTTTAAAACAAAAGGCACTTTACCAGCAACATCACAATATTTTTTAACAACTTATTTTTTAGATTCTGAGCGAAGCAATGAATTTACTGATTACAATATTATGATACAATATGTATAAAGCTCCTGATATATTGCAAAAATTATTATAGCAGTTAAAAAATATTTAAAATACTTATGCATGATTTTTTTTTATAAGAATTAAAAATTAAAAACAAGGTTCTGCGTAAGTATTTCTACTGTCACCAAAAAATCAAAAATGTTGATAAACTTAGTTTTTTTTATAGTTATTTGCAGTTCAAAGTTGACAACCACTTTCCCGTTTTTTAAAACTAAACTAACGCTGTGTCCTACGTGAACGCGGCGAACGCGGTAAACGCGTTGCGGTGCGAGCGCCGCGGCGAAAAAAATTATCAAACATATAAAAATAGATTAGATTGTCCATCGTACGCGATAAACACGGTCGACGCGAACGAATTCATTCGTTCGCGTTCACCGCACGGTTTGAAAATCAAATCGTTTTGTTTTTGGTCGCGCGTTGAAGCGAGTAGACGTATTTCGAAGCGGATGTTTTAACTTTGTTGTATGGTCAATATGGAGCTCCTTATATCCGAGGTACAAAAAAGAAATGTTCTCTGGAATAAATTTAATAAAAAGTATAGAGACAGATTGGTGTCTGAGAAAGAATGGGAAGCTGTTGCCAGAACAGTACATATGAATAGTAAGTCTGTTAAATAATTATTATTAGGGCCCGGAAGTTCATGCATTTGCATGTTTTTTTTTTTAACCATTGGATTTATTGCTAAGTGAGCTATAAATACATTCCAAGACACTACGAGTGTATATTTTTGCATATTTAGTGGTTTTTAAATTTTAGAGCATATTTCTTAATTTTACAATTTTATAGAGCAAATTTTATAATTTATAAAGATACAGTATGAAAATTCGTAAATAAACATTTATATTAAAAATATTAATATATATATTTATAAATTTTAACTACAGCTAGCGTTGTCGGCCTTATCTTATTAGTTATTACGTCGATCAACGGGCGCGCTCGTGCCGAATCGGGGTCGGCTTTTAACGTGTTTAACTTGCTCAATATAATATTCCATTACGATAAGTTATCGACTATCGTAATATAGGTAGTTTTGCTTATCGCCGATAACGATTCTCTCAAATTATAAAAAAAAATGTATATTAATTAATGAAATAATGTTTTTAATTACTAGTCAAAAAAATTGAAATAACAATTTTTTTCCTCATATTTATTGATTAAAAAAAATATTTATGCATATTTAAGCGCATATATCAGGATTTTTAAGTGCATAAATGCATATATATTTCGGTAGTTTTTAGTGCATAATCTTCCGGGCCCTAATTATTATATTATATATTAATAGTTCAAAATAGTTTGAATAGTATAAAAACATTTAAACCTACAGATATGAGATAATTTTCGTAATTAATTTGGCATCTAGATCGGGACACAACATTTGTTATAATAAGTATCAAATTTATTTTATTATTTAAAAAAATTATAATTATTGGAATAGTATAGTGACAAAATATGTATTTCCAAGTATGTTATGATTATAAAATACAGGGTGTCCCGTGAGGATTTACCCATTGCGATATTAATGTTTGTAGAAAATTATTTTTAAATTTTATTTTCTATAAAATACTTCACAAATCTATTTCTTATATTAATTGCGGTACTTGACGCTCGATTGTTGGCTCTGCCTTTGTAATTCAGCGATATCATTTGATTATGGCCCTTCGATATGTCTGTTTCGTAATCGTCTAGGGCGTAATGTTGTGTTGATGATTTTTTTTCCAAATCTATTATTGTATTGTGTAAAATACAAATAGCCTTTACAATATGATCCGCGTTTTCTACTTTTGTTTCTATTGATTTTAATAGAATTCGAAACTTTGATGAAGCTATGCCGAATGCACACTCGATTGTCATTCGTGCTCGCGCATGTCTATAGTTGTAATACTGTTTTTCGTTTTCTTGACACTGTTTTCTTGGAAAAGGCCTCATTAAGTAATTTTTCAATGGAAAAGCTTCATCTCCTATAAACACAAAAGGAGCCAAGACGTTCGAATTTGGTAATTTTATTTCATTCGGTAGTTTAAGCGAACCGTTTTCGATACGTTGGTAAAATTTAGAATTTACCATAACACCACCATCGCTATCTTTCCCGTATCCACCAACGTCTATCATCAAAAATCTATAACTCGCGTCAGCTACTGCCATTAGAACAATCGAGTGATATTGTTTATAATTAAAATACATACTCCCGGAATTTTCAGGGCATCGCAGTCTGATGTGTTTGCCGTCGATACTTCCCACACAGTTTGGAAAATTCCATTTTTCATGAAATTCTATTGCTGTGCTTTTAAAAGTATCGACGCTTGGAGTAGACATGTGTTTGAATTTTAACGTATTCCATATTACTTTACACACTTCAATAACAATGCTTGAGACTGCGGACTTAGATATTCTAAATGACATTGCGATTTGCCTGAATGCTAGTCCTGTTGCTAAATACCTAAAAAAAATACATTTTCACAAATTTAGTTACAAATAAAAATTGATTCACAGGAGAAGACGTAAAACGGAAATGGAAAAATATAAGAGACACGTATTTAAAAGAAAAGAAAAAAGTAAAAAAGAGCCGTTCGGGAGACTCTCAAGATAATGCAGAGGTGTATACTGGTAAATGGGTCTATTATCATTTATTGCATTTTTTAAAAGACACGACCACTCCTAGAACCACCGAGGGAAATGTATCTGATGAAAACGAAACGCAATTACAAATGTCTGACCTTTCAGATTCGGAAGAAGTTAATTCATTTTCGAGTAGTTTTATTGATATTGAAGATATTCAAAGTCCTGAAAATCCAGTTTCTGTCACACAATCAGAATGTTTTACCATTCCAAGTACTTCAAATTTGTCGCATGTTAATATTTCAACAAGTATTTCCAATGATTCAGATACCTCTTCTAAGACTTCTTCAATCAAAAGAAAAAAAAAGCAAGAAAATAAAAGTTTTGAAAGTGAATTATTAAAATTGGAAACACAAAAAATTAACGCGTTACTTGAATCAAACAAAACACAAGTGCAGGATGATGAAGACATGATGTTCTTGAAATCACTTCATCCATATTTAAAAAACATGGATAATTTACAAAAATTACGAGTAAGAAATCAAATTCAAACTGTACTCATTAACCAATTGTCAATAAAGAATCAACAACATCAAAATTCAAACATCCCAACTGCACCAATACATGAACTCTACATTCCTCAACATATTCAAGAACAGATTACCACAAATTCGTCTGATAATCCAACTTTCATTGGTTACCAACAGTACTGAGTAACAACAACATCGAAATTAAAAAAAAGAAAAAATTTAAAATCAAAGGAAAATTTACTTTTAAGGACTTTTATTTTGTTTTCAAAATACAAAGGTTTTTATTTATTTTTCATTGCTACATTTTTTTAATAAATTTTTAATTATTATATTAATATTTACTCTTTTATTTTACTTACCTTATTGTTACAAGTAACCTCTGCTCTACGGAAATCGGTTCTTGGAAATTTGTGGTCTTGAGATCAAATTCCGGTAATATTAATTTTAAAATATAATCAAATGTATCGGTAGTCATTCTAGTATAAGTTTCATTTTTTCGCAACTGTGGGTATAGGTGAAAGAATTCACCAAAAACAAGTCTATCTTTATAAATAATTGAATTTACAACTGATCTTCTTTTTTTTAAATATTTTTTATACAGTAAATATTTTAGTGTAGTACTTTCGAATAAAAATAATTGTTTTTGTAAATTCGATGACATTTTTAGTTGACTTAGTCTTTAACAAAAAGTTAAGAATTGAAAATATAAAAGAGCTGAACATAAACACATATTACCGCACATTACACGTCAAAACACACTGCACAACTGAACGCCAAAAAACAAAAAATATCGGAATATTGTCGGCCGCAAATTCGCGTTCGCCGCAAATAGGTAGGACACGATTGCGAGCGGCGAATGCGGCCAACGCGAATTCGTTCGCATCATTCGCAAATTCGCGTTCGCCGCGTTCACGTTGGACATACCGTAAACTAATTAATGTTATGAATATAAATATATTAATAATTACCTTCATGTAATCCATTTTTAAGGCATCAAATATCGCTTTACACGTCTCGGGAATAATAAATGATAAGCTGGGAGCTGATATGCACGTACTAAACTTCAAGTCTTCATAAGATCTTCCAGTGGAGAGAAATCTGAGAGTTGCAATAAGTCTTTCTTCTGCACTTATTGCAGCCCTCATCACAGTATCTTGTTTTTTTATCTATGGTCCTATAAGCTCAAGCAAAAACTGAAAATCTTTTAAATCCATTCTTAGATAGTTTTTATAGTCATCTGGATTGTTTTCTTCGAGTTCACGGAGAAGCGTGATATCACTAAATTTTTGGCGATTCAATTTCCAATCCTTAACCCATTTTGAACGTTTTTTTTTTTATTATCTTTTGTTAAGACATAAATAGCGGCACTTGCAATTGCAATTTTCTTTTGCTTTAATTTGTGCATTATACAAAATGTAAATTGTAAACTGAAAAAATGTAAATTAAATATAAAATGAAACAAAAAGTTTAAGCAGGCCCGCGAAACACCACGACTACACTCTACTGAAGTTCGAAAACAAGTGGAACGTGAACAAAACTGTTGATATTTCCGAAATGCCAGACGCCACGTCAATCGCGTGGGAATGTGGACATTTTTAGACTTTAAACGGACGTTCTTTCTTGCCAATCCTTCATAAAACGAAAGAGCGTAGGATTGGCGTGTATCATATTTTTTTGGTTCGATCTTTGCGCGTCGCGCGCCAATCCGCCGGGACTGATCGCAGGAACGGCGCGCCGTTCCAATCTCGCGAGAAAACGCGTACGTCTAAAGCGGCCTTTTGCATTATATTATAGTGGTACCTAATTAATTCAACTGGCTATTGAGTATTACTATTACAATTACTATTATCACATAAAAGAACTTACAACAGCACAGTATAAAATAATGCCACTAGAGAGCAGTTACGTTGCGAACGTACGACCAGTGTACAACTCTGTAGACACCTTATTTTATACAGTGTCCAGTCCTATGTGGTAGTTCGTGATTTTATCTAACTTTATGGGTATGTATATTACAGAACAAACCAGTTATGACATTGCAAAATTTATATGATTTCAAGATGACGTCCGTATGGGCTTTTCTAATAGACATGTTGACGGCTTTTGGATTTATGTTTATTTTTTGGATTATACTTAAAGGATTTTCCAAGGATACATCTGAAGACAAAAAATTACAACCGGAAAACGATAAGCCCGCAACGATTTGTTGTTGCATCGATCGTTATTGTTGCAAGAAAAAAATACCATTAACAATTACAGTACCAAATAAAATATGCCATGCCGAAAGACACAAATATCCGTTATTTTCCTATAAACGATCACCAAAACTTAGAGCATAAAACGTAATGTAACATTAAAATATTTTACTATAGTGAGTTAAATATTTAACGATACTGCACTGAACTATTAGTTTCGTTAAGATCAAAAAGAAATATGTTATTGAAAAATATTTGTCTACTTTATACATTAAGTATTGTATAAAAATATACCTAATGTATATTAAAACATACTATAGGTATAATTTTTAATTAATTAATATTTTAATGAACAATCGTTATAACTGTTTGCTGCAGTGGTTTACAATTTAAAAAACCAATCAAATGTTTTACCTACCTAGCTAGCTATTGCCTATTTGATGATCTTAAATACAATTGGTGTTTGGTAAGGTTATATAATTACACCGTAATAATATATTAATGTTTGAATTATTAATTAAAACTATAAACTCAACTTTACTAGTCATCACTTTTTTAAAGTCACGATTTACAATACATTCATGTCGTGTCAATTTGTTCTAATTGCCATGTTAATAGGATGTCAGCGCACTTCTGGTTTTCCCTCTCTAGCCCAGGCCCAACATCATACACAAAACGCAGAATTATTTTTAATTTTTAAGTAATCTTAGAGTAAAATCACCCATTACAAAAACGATAGATAATAATATTTTTGAGGGTATAACATATCGATTTGTCTAAATATTGTCTCAAAACAACTTAAACATCATTGAAATTTACAACATTTTTTTGTTTATTTTGAAATTAGAATACAAAGTCAATTAACAATAAAATATAAAACCGATATGTCATACGCCTAAAAATATTAACCTCTATAATTTTTGTAATTGTTTATTTTACTCTAAGATCATTCAAAAATTATAATAACCGATTTTAGGTGAAAGAGTTTTATCTATGTCTTGCTTAGGTCTGATTTATTTATCGATGCTTAGAGATCGGTCTATGTGATGCCTATCAAAATTGTTTAATTGAAATTTCATCAAAAATGATTGAAACTGCTTGCTCCGATAGAGTCGACAAAGTAAATTTATTTTCAGTATTTCAAAAATATTATCATTTAGACCACAAGTAAAATGTAAACATTGAAGCTATCGTCTCAGTGCCCTTAGAGCTCTTAGGTGCTTTGCCTGAACAGCCAGACTGACGATGGCCTGTACGGCTTATCTGATTTTGATAACGACATGCGGCCAAATTTTTGATTGTTGGAAGGCAACGCGAAAACCGCTATCAGCGATTAATATTTATCAATTATCAGAAGACACACCCTTTATACTCAAGTACTCAACCAGCATTCATGACTTTGTAGTAATATTATATTAATGATATTAATATAATATTATGATCATTGATTTTTAATTTTTATTTGTACTCGCATTCTCATTTCTCTCTCTCTTTATCTATTTATTCTCAAGACGTAACAGTGTAAACGTACGTAATAGTTATTAATATAATAATTTTTAATTTTGTAGTAATCTTAGTAAATTTTATTTTGTATGTATCAATATATTATAATAATAATAATAACGTGAAAATATTACTGTACTATAAATTATTAAACATTAATAGTTCATTATATCTATTTTAAATGTGAATGAAAGATGAATTCTATAAGAGTGTAGTGAGAACAATTATGCTGTATTGTTTGGTTGACATGGAAATAGAGCAGATGATGAGAATGCTTAGATAAATGAGTGGACTGATGGAAGAAGATAGGAAAAGGAATGAATATGTAAACTGTAAAGACTGTAAGAAGAAGATTATTGTGGTGTCGACCGTTCGCAAGATAAGAGAGAATAAACTGAGATGGTTTGGGTATGTTTTTAGGAGAGAGAAATCAGAAGATGTAAGAATGGTTATTATAATGTATGATGAAAGAAAAATAGGTGGTTGAATGTGATTGAGGGCGATATTATAGGAGTGCTGGTGGTAGGCGTAGATGTTGTGGGAGATTGTTTTATTTGGAGGTTTAGGATACGGATGACAGACCAAAAATAAGTTGGGATACAGGAAAACAAAGATTTTAATGTATTAGAATTTATGTTTTGTTTATAATAGTTTTTAAATTGTATTGAAGATTGTCCTATGTAAAAAGTATAATTATTATCTGTGTAGAAACAAACTAAAATAGTTGTTAAACTAATTTATACAAATTTGTTTTTAATCATTTTTCTAATTATTTATTTAAATGTATTTTTTTCTACGCAAAATGTATTAAGTCTTTTGTATTTTGTATGTATTGTGTCCATCACATTAATCATTGTCTATAAATTAGTAATTACTTATATTCTCTGAGATTGTGGGTCAAATCAATAGAAACTTTTTTTAGTTTACGATAAAACTCAATTTCCCATTATATATTGTAAAATATGTTTGCCTGCATATACTTGAAAATGTCCCTTATTTTCACATATTATTATGTATAGATTTGTATTGAGTGAAATTTATGCTTTCTTGTTTTATATTTACATTGTATATATTTTGTATCAAATGCCCGTATATTAATTTATTAAAACTATTTTGAATTTTCTATTGATTGCGTTATATGATTATGTACATTCCTATATAATATTTCCTTTTCCACTGAAGATTAATATTAAAACAATAATTTGGTTTAAATACTTCAAACATGGTGAAGTCAAACACTTGATATTCAGATTCAATTTTTAAATTGTATGGATTTTAATGTCTATTTTGCACTATTATTAATCTGAGTATTCATTTTAATAGTAATCAAAATGCCTATATTTTAATTTTCATTCAATAAATCTACTATGGATAACAGACACTTAGCACTATTATTCGATAATAATAATTTAATGTATGGATTACTACAATATCAAAGACATGTTCAACAATTAGTTGTTGCTATTGGTATGAACGATTCTGATGATTAGTCTTTTTAAGATATATTTAATACAATAGGTACCTCATATCATAATTATTATTGTACGCATAAGATAATCGGTGTAGTCTACTAGTCTGGTACATAGGCGCAAATAGCGTTTGGGATATGGGGGCGGGGGGCTAAAGCCTTACTTTAATAATATTGAATAAGCTTAAAACAATATTTGGGGGGCTATGGACATTTTTGAGAGGGCTAAGCCCCTAAAGCCCCCCCTATATGCGCCTATGGGTGTATAGTAAAAATATAAAATACTAATCTATTAACAGATGTACTCGCCTATGCCTCAGGTATTTGAGAACACTTAAATGTAAATAGTCATTAATTAATTGTGTTTATGAATTTAATATTGAATGTTCTTAATGATGTCGTTTTTGCATGCAAATGCATCAATGCATGTTTATTTTAGTCACTAGCGAGAGTGATGACGAATTAAACGATTCTTCATACCATATGAACTATATGAGACTTAGAGATCGGACATTCAAGGAACATTTTAGAATGCATAAGTCTACATTTGAAGTACATAATTTATAATTTATTTTTTTTTTCATTAACAGTAGTACTGCTGTTATAATTTACTATATTTCACAAAATATATGTATTTTATTATTAAATAGGCATTTTACAATGACATGGCACCACATATTAGTAAGACTAACAAACCAGTCAAAGTCCCACTAGACATCCAACTGTTAGGATTTATATGGATAATGGCTACCCCGGATTGCTATAGGAGTGTTGCTGAGAGATTCCAAATGAATCGTGGTACACTTCACAAAATTTACCGAACGATTGTCTCGAGTATAGTTTCTGAATACAGTTTTCTTTTACCATTACCTATGTATAATTTAAATTAGTATAACTTATTTGTTACTTATAGTTGTTATACTATTTTTTTAAACAACATTTGTTTATTAAGAGGCAGTTGAAATTCAGTGCAATTCATTTAAAATTGTGGTAGTTGACAAATAAATAAACAATTATGATTACTTACTTTTATTTGCATTCAAATTATCGTTAATTTCTTGGCTTGATCCTGGCACTCCAATGCCACATGAATTCAATAAGTCTCCAGCAACACCATGCAGAATCAGCCATAATTTAAAAATATATCTACTATATAAAATTAAAGGCATAAAATGGATGTAAATCTACAGTTTTTCACCAATTTTCATAAAATATTGAGATGAAATAAATGTTAAATAATTTTTTAATGAATTATAATTTATTTAATGATTAAATTTGAACTTGGTCTGGGGTCCTTATTCATTACTAATATCTTGTTTTTGATCGGTATAGTAATTTCACAATGTCTACATTAATAAATGCCATCTCTTTTTGACTTTCTATTACGTATAACAAGAAAGAAATGGATGATAGGAGGAATAGAATATAATGTTGTTATGATAGATTTCAGATTAGGATTAGAAACTTATACAAAACAAAAGTGATAGGTACAACATTTTCAAAATAATTTGTTAGGATTTATATGGATAAATTGTTTATTATATAATTATTGCTATTTCAACATTTTTGTAATAGCAGTACAAGTACTTAAAAATGTATCGGACCGTTGTTAACAAAGGACTTAGTACCTACTTTGTAGTGAAAGATAAAATATATATTAGTCTAAACAGAATATTGTTAGAACGAGCACATATTAAATTAATTGCTAATTTCTTAATTTACCTGTGGTTATGACCTCACAAAGCACTTGATGTGGGCAGTTGGGGTCATCATTAAAGATGGGTTTGTTCTCATTAAGAATAAACTTCACAAATTGTAGAGCCATTATTATTTATTATTATTTATTAATATTAAATATTCATTATTTAGAAAATTCGATAATTTATTAAATTTATGCCATTATCAACAAAGTATTATCTTATCAGCGACGATTCTGCTCTACGGGATGGCCGGTTTAGCGACGGCCAGGATACACAAAAGCCGTCAAGGCAACGCATGAGACAAGCGGCCTGGCTGTTTAGGCAACGCCAAATACGTGATTGGTACCATATTGGCCGTGGATTGGCCGTTTAGGCAACGCACCTCTTGTTAACGGCGACGGATAACGGTCCGTTTTCTAATTATTTATTCATTATTATTTATTATTTATTATACACGTATTATTTTTTCCCTA